TTTTTTCTTTTATTTTTCTTTTATTTTTTTTCTTTCAGAGCTGAGGACTGAACCCAGGGCCTTGTGCTTACTAGGCAAGCACTCTACCACTGAGCTAAATCCCAAACCCTCCAACTTAGTTTTTTGCAACAGAATCTTGCTATGTAGCCCAGGTTGGACTCAATTCTCCTGCCTCAACCTTCTGAGCTAGAATTACTGGACATGAGGCACCATGGCCTGGCTTCAAATTCCCAACAGCTATCTAAGATTGCCCCTGTCTCTGGCTGCTGAAGGTATCGGGGATTGCTTTGTTCAAGTTCCGTCCAGGCCATCATTCCCTGTAAGACCAGCTGCAGAAAGGTCACTTTTCTGGGTGTTTAGGCAGCCATGGTCTCCCTCATGGGATGTCACTCATGGGAAAACACTGCTTTGTTGCAAAAATCCATCGAAACTAAAGAAATGGAGAAGTAAGGCTGTGCTCTGGGGTGAACTGCCAGCATCAGTGTCTTCTCAGCCTTCTGCAGTGTGAGCCAGGCATGGGACATCCCCGCGAGGGCCCCTGGAGAGCAGTAGCCCCAGACTGAAGCTGTTGAATCCGGCCTGGCCCTTGTGACTGCAGGCTTCAACTGTGGCTATCTGGAAGGAGAACCCTGCCCACAGACCGCCTGGGGAGGCCACACAGTGAGAGCCACTTCCCCACAGGTGCCTGTGGCAGATGGGCGGGGCCTTCTCCATCCTCTGTGGTTTAGAAAAACACATTTCCTGGCACTCATCCCATCAAGGAGAAGAGCTGAGCTGCCTACAGACAGCTCGGCTTTTCCCCAGATAGCTTGGGATGGAGTCGGTGTAATGAATGATCTTTCTTTCTTTCTTTCTTTCTTTCTTTCTTTCTTTCTTTCTTTCTTTCTTTGTTTTAAAGAATTATTTATTTTACGTATATGAGTACACTGTGGCTGTCTTCAGACACACCAGAAGAGGACATCAGATCCCATTACAGATGGTTTTGAGCCACCGTGTGGTTGCTGGGAATTGAACTCAGGACCTCTAGAAGAGCAGTCAGTGCTCTTAACTGCTCTGAGCCATCTCTCCAGCCCCATGAATGACTTTTCATGGCACGGATACTGTGGCAAGCAATCTACAGGGCAGTCTGACCCCACCTCCCTTTGAACCTTCAAGACTTCTAACCCAGCTTGAGAATCTCGTGACTGTGTCTGGGTTTGGCCACTCCCCTACCAAGTCAACAGTGTGGCCTGCATTTTATTTCAGAGAGGAGAGGCTCAGAGAGGAAAAATGACCTTCACCTCAGCACCTGGGGAACAGAGACAGGAAGATCTCTAGGAGTCCAAGGCTAGTCAAGGCTACATAGCTGGTCCTTGTCCCAATAAATAAATCAAAAAGTGTTCACATAGCTGGACAGGAGCTGATGTGCCAGGGCCTTCTCAGGCCCCAGGCCAGCCGCTTTATTTATTACACTGCCTCTCTGGGGGAATTTGTGTCAGCCAGATCCAAACCTAAACCGCCAAATTCCAGGCTACCCAGGCATCTGGGTTCCCTGCAAAGGTGACCTCCCATTGAGGGGGGAGTGGGAAGGGGAAGAGACAACTGGTCCCTACTGATAAATGTCACCTGCTAATGAAGTCTCACCTGACCTAGTGAAACCAGTCCCATGTCCTACAAGGCCCATAGGAATGCCCCCCAACCTGCTCCACCAGCAGCCTGCCTGGCTCAGTAAATGGCTCCACTGTTCCCTAGCTGCTGAAGCCAAACCTCTGGGCATGTCTGACCCTCCCATTTCCACACCCACATACCTAGTCAACAAGTCCTGTGCACGCTCCTGGGGGTAGTGCCGTCAAGGCACTCCACTGTACCCATAAAGGGAACCCTCCCCCATCACAGCTATTTCTGCAAGCGGTTGTTTTCTTTGGGTGTCCTTGTGTTGTTGTCCAGTAGACCCCACTGGACAGGGCCTGATGATCTGTCCAGCTCCTAGAACTCTGCCTGACTCTCCTTGAGTTCCCAGGGTTACTATGGTGCTGATGCTGTGGCCCAGGACTATTCTGGTCTCAAATTTCCCTGGCTTACCTCAGGTCTCTGATACACCCTCTGCCTCTGTTCAGAGGTCATTGACCCCTGGGCCGGGGGACACCCTGGCTGTGTCAGTCACCATGGGACAGTGTAGTAAATGCTGTAGACAAGTGTCCTAGGCTTTTCGGGGTCTTTGTTTGTCTCACCTGTGCAGGAGTGCGTGCAGACCATGCTTCTGGGTTTCTGGACTGGGTCCTACCTCCCTTTGGCCTCCTGTGCAACATCAAAGCCAGCCAACCTGTATAGGGTGCCTTGGAGGCCCTGGCGCATCCGCTCCTGTCCATCTATGTGAACACTTTTTGTTTTATTTATTATTGAGACAAGGACTAGCTATTCGGCTGTGACTAGCCTTGAATTCCTAGAGATCTTCCTGCCTCTGGCCATATCTGGCCTTGGGAGTCTACGGGAAGTGTAAGCTTCCTCTCCTGATATCTATCCAGTAGTATCAGGCTTTAGATGAGTGATCTTGTGTGGCACTTGCAACAAGCCATCATTGTACAGGTCAGAAAAAGAGGTCCTAGGGCTGGGGAGATGGCTCAGTGGTTAAGAGCACTGGCTGCTCTTCCAGAGGACCTGGATTCGATTCCCAACATCCACATGGCAGCTCACAACTGTCTGTAACTCCAGTTCCAGAGGATCCAACCCCTCACACATGTAGTCACATGTAGTCAAACACTACTAATACACGTGAAATGAAAATAAATAAAATTTTAAAAAAGAAAAAAACAAAAAGAGCTCCAAACCCAGTGAGACGGATCAGGGGTAAAGGTATCTGCTGCCAAGTCTGAGGACTTTTCAATTCCCAAGACCCACAGGGCGGAAGAAGACGACTGACTCCTGAAAATTGTTCTCTGATGTGCTGTGGTGCTCCCCCAACGCGTGCGTGTGTGCACGCGTGCACACACACACAGGACAAATTAATAGTGCTGTTTTGTTTTGTTTTGAAGAAAAGAAAAAGAGACCCAGGAAGGTTCACTGATCCACCCACAGTCACACAGCCTGGAAGAGACGGAGGCAGGCTTGAATCTGCACGCCTAAGGCTTAACTCCTGAGGTGTGCACCTGAGGCTGTGTTCGTGGGCACTTTCTCTATCTATTCATATGTTCTGCTTGTCACATTTTGGATCCATCTGCTCTGTCTCAGGACTGTTCCACCTGTGTCTCCCAGCATGCCCCCCTGTTTGTCTGTCAGCAGCCTATCTGCCTGCCTGTCTTTTTGTCTGTTCTGTCTTCCAGCATATTGGTTTTCCGTTTGTCTGTTCTGTCTGGAGACTGTCCCACCTGTGTCTCCCAACCTCTCACTCTGCCTGCCTATCTGTTATTTGTCTGTGTCCTGTATGGTTGTTCTATATGGAGGCTGTTCCAATGGGGTGTCCCAGCGTTCCCTTATGTCTGCTTGTCGGTTACTTCCCTGCCTCTTTGTTGTCTGCCTGGTCTCCCAGCCTGTGCCGTTTCTCTCTTTCTTTTCCTTCCTTCCTTCCTTCCTTCCTTCCTTCCTTCCTTCCTTCCTTCCTTCCTTCCTTTCTTTTTTTATGTCTTAGGAGCCGTCCCACTTGTGTCTTCCCGGCATCGCCCTCTGTCTGCCTGTATGTCTGTCTACCTGTCTCGCAGGCTGTCCTTTTCTTGTCTGGGGACTGTCTCCTCCACTCCCCGCTGCTTCCCATCTCTTCGCCCTTCTCTCCATCCCGGGGCTCTTGCCTCCACCCACGCTGCTTCCAGTATCAGGATCCCAGCGCGATCCGGACAGAGGCCAGACTGGAACTACAAGTCCCGGCAGCCCCCGCGGGAGCGGCGTACGTAGGCGCCGTGGAGGGGCGGGGCTTGACGGCCGCAGACTGACTGCGGCACCGTTCCAGTCGCCGTCGCGTCGTGCAGGTGCCGCCCAGCCCAGCCCCTCCGCAGATCGCCGCAGCCGGCGCCTCCGACCGAGCCCCGGGGCCTCGCACGCCGAGCCCAGGCCGCGGGCCACAGCGGCCGGCGATGAGCGCGAGGAGCCGAAATGAGCGCAGGTGAGCGGCGGCCGGTCCCTCCCTTCGGGTCTCGTCCCCAGGCACCCAGAGGCAGATTTAGGATGCCGCTGTGTACATCCTGGGCCAGAGGATCCCTAGGGTCGGGGCTTCCTGTCCTCCCCATCTCCTCTGAATGCATTCGACCCTGAGTTACAGGTCCCGGTGACGGACGCTGTGCACCCCCGTGGGGCCTCTGAGCAGCACCCATATGTATTACATGAACAGGGAAGCCAGCTCTCTGCCGGGCGTGGATGGGAGCCCTGAGGCACAAATGCACTCCTAACCCCAGCCTCAGAGCCCCACAGAAAGCTTGTCAGTGGCCAAGTCTAAGGACCACATCCTGCATGACCCCAACAAAATCCCACCAGATGCAGATGCCTGCTAACCTCCGGGTGCTAGCATGCCCAGCCTTCAGTCTCTGTCTCTCAGCATCTCTCTGGCCCAGTCCACAGCTTCCATCCTACAGTGCCTTCGGCGATGGATGGATAAGAATAGGGGGCGAGAATTCAGCTTGTGATAAGAACAACGTCCGCCTCTTATACACCAGATCCCTGGGTCTGTACTTGCAAAGTCTCTAGTGTCTAGCGTCTAGAATCTACATAAAGACCTTCCAGGCGCACACCCTCCCAGCTTGGTGGGAGCCAGGAGCTCCTGGCCATTGGGGAGCTACCAGAAGTAGATACTGATGCCTGGGACCACTGACAGATAGCAGCGGGAAGCTGGGTCTTCCGCAGGAAATATGAGGTTCCCAAATGGCTTTGACTCCCGCCCCTCTGCTCTGCGGCTGCCCCAGGGCTGCGAACTGGGCTAAGCCTCGTCTCTGCCATGCATACCTGTGTGTTGCTCTTTCTCTCTTGGCCTGCTTTTTCTCGGGCTTTGTGTTTGGGTTTCTGGCTGGGTGCTGAGAAGGGTGTCAAACCTGGGCCTTTTGCTCTATTGGAGCTATATTGCAATCTTTGTGTTATTTTATTTGTTTATTTTTATTTTTTAAAGATTTGTTTTTAAGTTTTTAATTGTGTGCGGTGGGGGAGGGGGTTATATTAGGTTGTGAGCACCTAACATGAATGCTGAGAAGCAAACTCAGACCCTCTAGGAGAGCTGACTGTACCATGAGCTATCTCTCCAGCCCCTATTATTTTTATTGTTTAAGACTGGGGTCTCATGTAGTCCAGGCTGGCCTCAAATCTCATATGTAGTCACAGATGACCTTGAACTAATCTTTCTGCTTCCATCTCTTCTGTGCTGGTATTACAGTCATGGGCCACTAAACCTAAGCGCTCATTTTAAATATTTGATCATTCGTGTTACTATTTTGTGTGCACAGGCACACACTTTCGCCCCAGCCTGTGTGTGTGGGTCAGAGGACTTTTCCATCATGACTCTAGGCGTGGAACTCAGGTCATGAGGAGGCTTATGTAGCCAGGGCCTTTGCCTACTGAACCGTGTGGCCACCACCCCTCCCCCATTTTAAATGAGAATCCTATTCTATGCTTTTCTCGAGGCAGCTGGCAGTGGGGGTGAATTAAAGGCCCTGTTCATCTCAGCCAAGCGTGCCAGCTTCCCCATTTGAGGTCATACGATTCAGGACCTGACTCTTCACAGTCGGGTTCCCCTGTTTCCCGTCTCTGAAGGGAAGGTTTCAGCAGTTCCTCCCTGGGAGAGCTGAAATGAACTACAATGTTGCCACTGCTGAGGGAAAGGCACTGGGGCTGCCTTGGCTGTGACACAGGAGAACTAGGAGAGCTTAGAGTTTTCATCTCCCAAAGCCCATGGCCCGAGCAAGCCGGCTTGAGGTCTCCTTACCAGCGAGTCCTGGAACACCTTCTCTTGACGGGTGATCTGTGGCTAAGCCTATCCAAGTGCTTTGAAGATATCCTGTGTCCCGGACAGACAGTGCACCCCTGGGCGTGGCCCTCATGGACGCCCTAGGGGTTTCCTTAGATGTGACTTCTTCCTTTGGCAAGCTCCTTTGCCCTCCTTCCTGAGGCTGCGAACATCCTTGTGAAATAATGGGATTGGTGATGGACCCCGAAAGGAGCTTTCCAGATTACCTCCCAGGGGTTGACAATCAGGGAGAGGTTAGAGACGACAGTGGGTGGGTGGGCAGGCAAAGGCGGCTGGTCCATGCTCTTCTTCCTCTGCAGTGCTTGGGTGTGAGTTCTTTCATTCAGTGCCAACTGTGAGCAGGTCAGGAACCAATGAGCATGGGTGAGAGCAGAGGCAGGACTTTGAAAACAACAGGCCCATTCCATTCTCCAACCCCTGGTAGAGTGGCCATAGGAGGCTCAGCCCTTCCATTCGTAACCACAGTAAGAGGCCACCTCTCTACTGTTGGCAGGTGGAATCAATCCAGTCAGGTGATGCACTCAGGGTTGGCTTTGTGACTTCTTTATCAGCCTGAGCCCTATCTAGCTGGTGCCCCAAGGGCCACAAGCTACAGGAAGGAGCTGGAGGCCAGCACCCCTGCAGGTTTCTGTCTGGCTGATGAGAAAGGACAGAGGCCGCCACGCCCCGGTGGGAAGCCACACAGCTGGCACCAGCCTCAGACGCCCTCTAGGCTCCAGCTGACGCTCACTCTTCTCTTCCTCCGTGTTTGTGCGGGGTTGCTGCACACACATTCATCTTAGAGATTGGAAATGGAAGCCCAGAGAGGCTGGGGCACCTGCTTTATGAATCACAGTTTGGCAGAGAGTGCAGTTGATGACGGAGACATTAAATGTGGCTCTTGGGCAGCGTACCTCCCCATACCTGTTTCCCAGCCATAAAATAGAGACAGAAGTGGTACCTGTTCGGTAGAGTAGTGTGGAGGAAAAGGCAGGTGATTGTACAGCCTGGGTCAGCCCTTTGAAACCCTGAGGTGCTGTTTCCATAGCCCCCATAGGGCTCTAGCAGGAAAGACTGGAGCTACTGGTGGTGGTGGACCTAAGACTGTCTTCCTGAACTTCCTGTCGTGAATTCAGGCCCCTCTGTGAGAGCCAGGCTACTCCTTGGGACCATGGGAACGACATGATGTTCTTCCTGGTTGGCTCTGCCCTCATGCCAGCGTCTGTGGTTCTGTGGGAGGGCCCAGTAGTGGGGCTCTGGTACAGCTATTTTCTGGGTTCCCAATTTAAAGAGGCCTCAGATGGCGTGGGACACACTAGTGCATATCAGTTCCCAGCTGTTCCATGTTGGAGTGAAGGAAAGCCCAGGATGCTTAGTGCCCCAACCCCAGTTCCCTGTGAGCGGGCATCCATCCTAGGAGTGCCTCTGGCACATGGGGCATATGCTCTTCTTTCAGTCCTGGTTGCCACACCCAGATCTGCCTCTGCTTTTTGTTTTTTGTTTTGTTTTTTTTTGTTGTTTTTTTTTTTTGTTTTTTTTTTTGGTTTTTTTGAGACAGGGTTTCTCTGTGTAGTCCTGGCTGTCCTGGAACTCACTCTGTAGACCAGGCTGGCCTCGAACTCAGAAATCCGCCTGCCTCTGCCTCCCAAGTGCTGGGATTAAAGGCGTGCGCCACCACCGCCCAGCTTGTTTTGCTTTTCAAGACAAGGTTTCTCTAGGTTGCCCTGGTTGTTCTGGAACCAGATCTGTAGACCAGGCTGGCCTTAAACTCATAAAGATCAAGTGCCTCTGCCTCCTGAGACTACAGCTGTATACCACCACCTCCCAGCCTAGATTTGTCTTTGTGTAAGACCAATAGATCCATTGTTTAATTACAGAAATAAGCAAAACCAGTCTGAAAGCAGCCTGCCTGGGCCTGCCTCCCCAAGCTGCCACATCCTTGCTGTGTGATCTTGGCCGCGTCATTTAACCTCTCCCTGTTCTTTAAAAGGGAGAGGGGAGGCTGGGAAGATGGCTTGTGGGCCAAGTACAAGTGTGAGGTCCTGAGCTGGGATCTCCTGCAGGAACATAACAAAAGCTGGTGCCGTGACACACACTTGAAATTCTGTCGCTGTGGGGACAGAGACAGTGGATCCTGGGGACACTCTCTAGCCAGCCTAGACTAACTTGTGAGCTTGGGTCAGGGAGAGACCGTGTCTCAAATGAAGTAAGGAGCAGGAGAATAGAGAAAGATTCGTCACGTCAACTTCTGCACACTTAAGCACACACAAAACACAGCCACACACAAAACAGTGAGAGACACCTGGCAGAATTATTATGATAGCCTTGTAAGAAGGTCTGGGAACAGAAGCACACACATAATCAGCTATCCCGCCTCAAGCATGGGAGGCTTGCCCCCTGCCTCTGAGCCACAAGCCCCGCCCAGCTGGTCAGGACTCTTTAATGGTCCAGGAGAAACTGCAGGAGGCTCCGCCTCTAGGGACCGAGCAGTCCAGAGACTAAGGGATGCTGGGACTACAGCAGCTGCCAGAGGAAAAGTTGGGCTTACTGTATAGAAACTTCTAGAAGGACTCCTGCCCTGTTGCGACCACAGTCCTGTAGATGAGGAGGCGGGAGGAAATTAAGTTCCACCACAGCAACCTGGTGCTCATCTCTGCCGCTGACAGGGTCGGTGTGGACTTGACTTTATAGGGCGGTGGGCACCAGGTCTAAATGAGAACAGCCCGGCCCCTGCCCACGGGAAGGGAATGTGGGTAAAATACAGTGCCCCATGCAAGCAGGAACAAGACGCACCTGTGCAGGGCAGTTATGTGCCTCCAGCTCTGTCGAGAGAGCACACTCGTGAGAACTGTGAGCCATTCAGTTCACGGGCTCAGAAGGCCTGAGGACAGAGTGACCAGGTTTGCCAAGCTTGGGGAAGGAAGAGGAGGCCTGGAGTTGTGGCCTCGTGCTGGAGTGGCTTGTCCAGCTCCGTAAGGGCCTGGGCTCCATCCCCAGCGCTAAACGAGAAGAGAGAAAATAGAAACGAAAATATTTCTATTTTCCGTCCACAGACAGCAGCCCGCTCATGGGCAGCATGCCCCCCAACTATGGGACCCTGATGACAGGGACATCAATCGATCCCCTCAGCTCCTCAGTTTCATCCGTGGTAGGTGGTGGTGGGCGGAGTGGCACTCGGCCTGCCCCAGCACTGTCCTGACATCTGTTCAGCCCCTGCCTGCCCCAGCTTCATCAGCCCTGTCCCCTGCATCCCCAGAGGCTCAGCGGCTACTGTGGCAGTCCATGGAGGGCCATCGGCTATCACGCCGCGGTCTGGATGCTGGCCGGGATCCCTTGGCTGCTATTCCGCTGGAAGCCCTTGTGGGGCGTGCGCCTGCGCCTGAAGCCATGCAGCCTGGCCCACGCCGAAACACTCGTTATAGAAATAAAAGACAAAGAGGTGAGTGAAGCCACCGGGGCCGGGGGGCCTGAGAAGGAGTAACGGGATACTGGGGTGCTGCGTGCATCCACCACTGGGCCTTGGAGCAGGGTGGGGAGGAGGCAAGCCTTCGTCTTCCTGTTTGTACCTCAGCACCCTAGTCTGAGCAGTGGACAGAGGCATGGTCCGCTGGGCTCCCTTACACCTCTGTACCTTCTTTAGAAAAGGCTTCATTAGTTTTTGCAATCAAAGTCACATAAATAAGACTTTACCTGGAGATGGCTTCTGTCGCTGTGGTAAATACCATGAACAAAAAGCAAGTTGGGGAGGGGAAGGTTTATCTCAGTTCTAAGTCCACACCACAGTCCATCTTCAAAGAACTCAAGTCAGGGACCTGGAGGCAGGAACTGAAGCAGAAGCCATGAAGGAGCCCTGCTTGCTTCCTGGCTTGCCCCTCATGGTGTGCCCAGTCTGCTCTCTTACACCATCCACAGGCCCAGGGTGGCACTGCCCACAGTAGGCTGGACCCTCCCACACAATCGCTAGTCAAGAAAATGTTCCACAGGCTTGCCCACAGCCAGTCTGTGGGGACACTTTCCCATCTGAGATTCCCGAGTCTCAAATCACTCTAACATCTGTCAAGTTAGAATAATGGGTAAGGGTGCTTGCCGCATACGCACAAGGACCCAAGTTCGAATCTCCAACTCCCAAGTAAAGAGTTGGGGATAACCGGGCAGTGGTGGTGCACGCCTTTAATCCCAGCACTTGGGAGGCAGAGGCAGGTGGATTTCTGAGTTCGAGGCCAGCCTGGTCTACAGAGTGAGTTCCAGGACAGCCAGGGCTACACAGAGAAACCCTGTCTCGAAAAACCAAAAAAAAAAAAAAAAAGAGCAGGCTATGGTTGCCCAAGTGCCTATAATCCTTAGCACTGGGGAGGGCAAGCAAGGACAGCGGGCTCTCTGGGGCCTGCTGACCTCCAGGGCCAAGGAGTGGCCCTCTTTCAAAGTAAGGCAGAGATCGATAGAGTAAGACACTTGACACTCTACCCTGGAGTCTGTGTGTGCAGGCAGGTGCACTGCCACACACGTGTGTAGACACTGTGGTCACATGCACAGAGACTTTTGGGTATGATGTGCTGTCTGAACGGATAGCCCTGTTTCTTTGGCTTTCCCCAAGGCCACCTGGCTAGGGGACCGGCCTGGCAGGATGGAGGCTCTTTTGAAATGCTGAAGTCACACCTCTGTGTTCCAGGGTAGCTCCAGACAGCTCTTCACAGTCCAGGTGCAGACTGAGGCTGTCGCCAAGGGCAGGTGAGACACTGGGTGTCCCTTCCCTGTTGGAGGTGCGGGGGATGGGAGATCTGGGGCACCCCTTGAGCTGCTGAGTAACTCCCAAACCCTCCCCAGCCTGCAGCTGCCCCCACGGCCCCAGGCAGAGGATGGGCGGAGCCAGGTGGCTGTGGGAGTGATTCCAGAGGATGCATGGCAGGACACCACCCAGCTCCACAGGCAGGAAGAGGCAGTGAGTGGCCAGCGGGGCTCTAGACCTGGCCTCACCCTTCTATGGGCATCAGGTCCCACTCTCTGTGGGAGGACTGGGCTCATAATTCCGTGTCCCTCTGGGTCTCTGAGGTCCCAGACGTCTGTGATCCTATCTGACTTTCAAGCTTCTCTTTCCTGTGATGCTGTCCTTGTCCCTGTCCCCTCCCCACCTTGTGTATGTGGCTACTCCTCGGCACCAGGCCACCTCCCACCGGCCCGTCCTCTCTCACCCAGAGGCAGGTACTGCGCTATTACGTCCTCCAAGGCCAACGCTATGTCTGGATGGAAACCCAGCAAGCCTTCTGCCAAGTCAGGTAGAGGCCCCAGGCATGGCCACACATTCTCCAGCAGGGTGGATTGGCACCAGGGCATGATGGGGCTGGGCTAACCCAGGCTACCTTTGGCTGCCCTGAAACCTTAGGCAGTTCATGAAGCGTCTCTCAGCTGGGAGCTGCTTCCTGTAAATGGGGGGTGAGGGGGGGTGAGGATCTGTCTCACCTCATAGGGTCATTTAAGGTACACTTGCTGGGTACTGCACCCCACAGTGTGCTTGAGTTGAGTCCGTCAGAAGCAGGGTTCTAGATGAGGGGAAGGAGGCATTAGACCCGGGACAGCACTGGGAGGTGGCGGAGGAAGTTGCCAGGCCTTGTTATTACCAAGAATGTCAGGAACCCCTTGACCAGCGTGGAGCATGTACCTCAGGGATGACAGACACGGCCCCTGGGCTCCCACCCATGCGGGGTTGTGTGCTGCTCCTGGGGAGGAGGGTTCAGCCACATTTGGCTCATTTTGCCTCTTGTCATGCTTACCCAGCTGGGACAGTCCTCTGGTAAATTGGGGTGTTTTCAGGGGAAGAGGGGCTCCACCAGCCTTTGCTGCGTGGCAGTGACAGGAACAAAGCTTGCCAGCGTGCTTGTCACTTAGCGTTTTTACCTCAGCGACCCACAGCCTGATGAGGTGGGCGTGCCTAGTGCACCCATTTTGCAGTTGAGAAAACAGAGGCCCAGCAAGGTTAACTGCTTTGCCTAAGGTATCGTTGGTGTAAACAGTGTTTTGTCACTGATCTTAGCACACCCATCCCCCACTGCTGGCATCCCTTAGTGAGGTAGGTGGTTTGTGGCCTGGTCACAGGAAGGGATAAGCTGAGTTCTCTCCTCTGGGTTTAGTGTGACCGAGAGGTCCTGATAGCCCTGGAGCCCCAAGTTCTCCACCTGTTAAGGATGGGGTGTGGAGCTCAGGCTCCGTCACCCAGACAGTGTCCCCTCTCCACCCTCATCAGCCTGCTGGACCACGGTCGTACTTGTGGTGACATCCACTGCTCGAGCTCTGGCCTCAGCCTCCAGGACCAAGCTGTGAGGTATTTGCCGTCCCAGCCCTGCCCTTCCTTCCCACACGCCTATCTTCCCGGTGGTGCCTTCTCGGGACCGCGGTTTCCTGATGGGAAGTGGGGTCTCCGGCCCCCTCCCCCCGGGACAGCTCAGTGGCCTCCCTTCTTACAGGAAGACCATTTACGGCCCCAACGTGATTGGTATTCCCGTCAAGTCCTACCTGCAGCTACTGGTGGATGAGGTAAAGGACCCCGGTGTCGCCCACAGCAGCTTACCCGAGTAGGGGTCAGTGTCCTCCTCAGCCTGAGAGACCAGGTTGAGGATAAGGAGCGTCCAGCGCAGAGCCTGCAGCAGTGCCGATGCAGACCCATAGAGTCCAGCGCAGCCTCAGGCAGGAAGCCTGCATTAGGGCCCAGTCGGCTCTGTGGAGCTGCTTCTAGCCGACAGTCCTGTGAATAAGAACTGTTCACCCAGAAGGAACCCACGCCTCAGGGCAGAACAAGATATGGCCAAAGGGATCTCCTCGCCTTCTGCAAACCACAGCCTGACACTCAGGCACTGTGTGGTTTTAGGCCAGTGACTTAACCCTCCTGTGCCCAGTAGGCCTGTGGTGGTAGCTCCACCTTGTGGAACTGTTCTCACCATTGTGTGACACTTAGAAAGTGTGGCAAGGGTCTGGGGACACATGCCTGTGTCCCCCTGGCTGCAGCTTGGGGGATGTCAGGTAGAAAAGGGGAGTGGGCTTAGGCAGGCGACTGGCTTGGCTTTGCTCAGGGCAGCCACCAGCTCTGTCTCCAGTATCCCGGCAGCCCAGGGATGCAGTTGATGCTGCCCCTTGTCCCTCCTCCAGGCACTGAACCCCTACTACGGGTTCCAAGCCTTCAGCATCGCCCTGTGGCTGGCTGACCACTACTATTGGTATGCTGTCTGCATCTTCCTCATCTCAGCCATCTCCATCTGCCTGGCTCTGTACAAGACCAGAAAGGTGAGGGGGGATGGCCTGGCAGGGCTGGACAGGGTGTCTGTCCCCAAGGGGCTGCCACCCACTCAGCTCTTCTCGTCCCTCTGTCCCACAGCAAAGCTTGACTCTGAGGGACATGGTCAAGCTGTCTGTGCGGGTGCAGGTGTGCCGACCCGGAGGAGGTGAGAAGCAGGTGGGGGGGAGGCTGGGAGGAGGGGGCAGCGGGGCAGCTGACCTCACAGAACCCCATGTTCCACAGAGGAAGAATGGGTGGACTCTAGTGAGCTGGTGCCCGGAGACTGCCTGGTGCTGCCCCAGGAGGGTGGGGTGATGCCGTGTGACGCCGCTCTGGTGGTCGGGGAGTGTGTGGTCAACGAGAGCTCCCTGACAGGTAAGCCCAGCCCGGCACGTGGCCCACTTGCCATCTAACCCTCTGCCTTTTGCTAGAAGCCTTCGCTGAGTTTTTCTTTCAAGTAACAGTTGTGGCCCCGGCACTCCCCAGCCACATGCCTTTAAACACTCAGTGCCTCAGTTTCCCCAGCTGTAAAATGTGGTTGCCAGTCACTCCGGGGTAGAGCATACAGAAACTGTTATCAGCATCTACCAAGCAGCTGAGATTCTGGCCCGTGAGCCACAGTCCCTGCTTGTGCCCCGTGTCTCTTCCACACGCACACGCACATGCACATGCTGCTACTGCAGCTCGTTCGGCTGTGTGGTGGGCTTACGTCCCGTTTATCTCAGTTTCTTGCGTCATATGTATGTAGTCCTCCACACGCTGCCTAGGAGGTCCTGGTGGGCCGGGACTTATGTACTCCTGAGTGTCCATTAGTGTGGATGGAGCCACACCTGCTTCTCTGTGTGTATGAGATCCGTGCGCTAGCCTGTCACAGGGCTCGAACCTGTGATCCCAGCACTCGGGATGTTGAGGCAGGGGGATCACTAGGTCCAGGTCAGCTGAATTAATGGTGTGATAGGAGTGGACGTTTGTTTCCAAGGGAACTTCTGGCTTGAGATTTGTTGCCATTCTTGTGCGTGTTTGTGACACCCGGCCAGCACTGGCTGTGGAGTCCATGGCCTCTCCCACGGAGCTAAGCCCCCACTGCATTGTTCCAACTTTGTATTTAAGCAGAGTTGCCCAGACTGTCTTTGAATTTACTCTGTAGTCCCAGCAGACTTCAAACTTGTAATCCTCCTGCCTTAGCATCCTGAAAAGCTAAGATTACAGGCTTCCCACCAGGCCCAGCTTTGGGTTTTACCTGTGTAATAAATTAATGAAAACAAACATGATTGTAACCCCAGCACTCAGCACACAGAAGCAGGGTTACTCCAAGTTTGGGTCTAGCCTAGACTACACAATGAGACTCTAACTCTAAACAACAACAACAAAACACCCTCAAAACACAAAACAAAGAGTCAAAGGACTAGGTGTGGTGGCACACACTGACAGTCCCAGCACTGGGATGTTGAAGCAGGAGGGGCCAGGAGTTCAAGGTCATTGACTATATAGTCTGAGGCTAGCCTGGGCTATATGAGACTGTATTAAAAAACAAAACAAACCTCTGGCCCCCATGGACTGTCTCACACCTACCTAATCTTAGGGATGCAGAAAGGCTGAGTTCCCCCAAAATATGCACATTATAGATGTCCAGTAATCCCGTCCTCACAGGAACTCCATAAGGGATCTGCTTTCCCAAGCTGGCTGCCCAGGGCTTTGTAGAAGCCCACACAAATCTTATTAGATGCAAAGTGGGCGTACTGGCACACACTTTTAATCCCAGCACCCAGGAAGCAGAGGCAGGTGAATCTCTGTGAGTTTGAGAACAGCCTGGTTTACGTAATGAGACCTTGTCTTTTTTTTTTTTTTTTAATTTATTTTATATATGTGAGTATACCGCCGCTGTCGTCAGACACACCAGAACAGTGCATCAGATCCCATTACAGATGGTTGTGAGCCACCATGTGGTTGCTGGGAATTGAACTCAGGACCTCTGGAAAGGCAGTCAGTGTGCTCTTAACCACTGAGCCATCTCTCCAGCCCCAAGAGTGTGGCCAAGTGTTGGGGCTCAGACCAGGCATTCCAGCTAAGTCAGGAAGATCACAAGTTCGAGGCCAGCCTTGTTACATAGTAAGACCAGTCAAAAGTCAACAAAAATAATGTGTCTGTTGTGAACTAACGCCAGGAGAAAAGCTCCCTAAACATCAGCCCCAATATACTCTCAGGAGCTGGCCCAACTACCCAAAGCAGGTTCCTAGGAGCACATGCCTCCCCTCGGGATTGCCTCACGGTCTCGCACTCTTTGCCCTTCTGGCCTATGTCTCTCTCACTGTCCACCCAGTCACACAGTTAAGTGTGACTGCAGAACAGCTGTGGACAGCTCCTAGCGCTGTTGGTGGGAGGGAGAACCCTGAAGGCCTCTTCTGGGCCTCACACCATGTCCCTCCCAGGGGAAAGTGTCCCAGTGCTGAAGACAGCCCTGCCCGAGGGGCCCAAGCCCTACTGCCCAGAGACCCACCGGCGGCACACTCTCTTCTGTGGCACCCTCGTTCTGCAAGCTCGGGCCCACCTGGGACCCCGTGTCCTAGCAGTGGTGACTCGGACAGGTACATAGCTGGAGGTGGAGAGGAGTGCTGAGTTCAGCATATGCAGGAGCCATGACACAGGGCAGGGCGGGACCTGGAGCACCCCACCCCCTCTGCCGCTGTGGGATTCTTCTCACACCGAGTTGAGCCTCTAGGTCCCAACTGTATGTGTGTGGGTGTTTTGCTGTATGTTTGTCTGTGCGTATGCATGCCTGGTGCCTGCAGAATCCAGGAGAGGGCATTGGATCCCTTGGAGCTGGAGTTACAGAAGATTGTGAGTTGTGTGGATGCTAGGGAATGAACTTGGGTCCTCTGGAAGACCAGGGACTGCTCCTAACCACTGAGCCATCTGTTCAGGCCTCATGTCTTCCTCTTAGCAGAAGTCAGGCAGACCGTAAGCAAGCTTTGCGGTGTTTGTAGGAGAAAGCAGGGATCCTCCTGGGGGGCTGGGAGGGGCTTAGTTTTCTCTCTCGATGTAAATGAAACCACCCATTTAAGAGGCTGTCTGTTAATCTCCTATGGGGACCCTGCCCAGTGGCAGCAGGTGGTGGCTCATGCCTTAATCCCAGGCAGAGGCTAGCCTGGTCTACAGAGCAAGTTCTAGGCAAACAGGGGCTACATGGTAAGACCCTGTCTGAAATAAAATTCTACAGGGGATTGTGCGTTTATAATCCCAAGTGCTTGAGAGGTGGAGGCAGAGGGGTCAAAAGTTCAGGTCCAGCCTGGGCAATTTAGTGAGACTCCCCCAGTCAGAATAAAGAGAGGGCTTTGGAAAAGTGAAAAGGATGTCTAAACGGAAAAGGGTCCAGTCCCTGAACCACAGAAAGCAAATAATTAAAAGACCTCTGGGGGGGTTGGGCAAGCTTTGGGAGTTGTCATCTGTGACCCCAACCCCGATATCATGAGCCCAGGGCCCAGGCAGTGTGTGAGGAGTGGGAGGAGCTTGCCCTAACCCCTGTCCCTGCCTGGGCTTTCTGTCTGCCCCAGGGTTCTGCACAGCCAAAGGGGGCCTGGTGAGCTCCATCCTGCACCCAAGGCCCGTCCACTTCAAGTTCTACAAACATAGCATGAAGTTTGTAGCTGCGCTCTCTGTCCTGGGTGAGTAGGCCGAGTACTTACTTCACTCTGCTGACAGCCCCAGCTGGGGTGGGTGGGGTCCCGCTTACCTGGGTGAGTGGGCCGAGTACTTCACCCTGCTGACAGCCCCAGCCGGGGTGGGTGGGGGTCCCGCTTACCTGGGTGAGTGGGCCGAGTACTTCACCCTGCTGACAGCCCCAGCCGGGGTGGGTGGGGGTCCCGCTTACCCCTGCTGTCTCCCCAGCTCTGCTCGGCACGATCTACAGTGTCATCATTCTGTACCGCAACCGGGTAAGCCAGAGGCCGGGCGGGCCTGCCAGCCTGTGGGACCTACCCAGCTCCACCTCTGGGTTCACAGTGTCTCCTACCAGGTGCCTGTGAGGGAGATCGTGATCCGGGCTCTGGACCTGGTGACGGTGGTGGTACCACCCGCCCTGCCGGCCGCCATGACCGTGTGCACGCTCTATGCCCAGAGTCGACTGCGCACACAGGGCGTCTTCTGCATCCACCCGCTGCGGATCAACCTGGGGGGCAAGCTGCAGCTCGTGTGCTTCGACAAGGTGGGGCCTGGCTGGCAGGACTTGGGGGACTGGGCACTTGAGCGGATGGCCTGCTGTACCTAGATGTCATCCAAGTGGGGAGCACTCAGGGACTGCCCTTCACAGCCAGCTTCTACCTACTCTGTCTCATGCCTGGCAGATAAAATGCCTGACATTTAATTGTTGAAGAACCACTGTGGGGCTGCTGTGCTGGGCACTCGAGTCACAGCCCTGGAGTCCAGTAGGAACCAGCAGGGGTTGGTGTGTGTGCGTGTGTGTGCGTGTGTGTGTGTGTGTGCATGCGTGCGTGTATGCGTGTATGTGCGTGCGTGCGTGCGTGCGTGTGTGTGTGTGTGTACGAGCACACTGAGGACAGCGAGTATTAATGGAGTCCAGAGCCATCTTGATGGCATGACCAGTTTCTCCCAGTGAGCTCTCCCATGATGAGGAACAAGCATGCACAGTTCTTTAAGGACACTGACCTGTGATGTCAGATGGAAAACACCAGCCGAGCTCCATCTGATGGTCCATCAGGGCCATGAACTGAGCGAGGAGAGGGAAAGGGGTCAGACTCAGGGGTGTGGAGGTGACTCCAGCAGGGACACAGGGTCCAGGACAGGCCTCCTGTGGCCCTCGCTGTGGGACTCGCCTGACTTGAGTGTGGGGACCAGCTGAGCAAGGCCCGACTCAGCCAAGGACTTGGCACTGTCCCCTTGCAGACAGGCACCCTCACAGAAGATGGCTTGGATGTAATGGGGGTGGTGCCCCTAAAGGGACAGATCTTGCTGCCACTGGTTCCAGAGCCCCGCCATCTGCCTCTGGGGCCCCTCCTCCGAGCACTGGCCACCTGTCATGCCCTCAGCCAGCTCCATGACACCCCGGTGGGCGACCCCATGGATCTCAAGATGGTGGAGTCTACAGGCTGGGTAAGGAGGCCAAGCAAGCCAGACCCCTGCCTCGGGACAGCTAGGCCTAAGGAATGCTACCTTGTATCTCCCCCATGGTCTCTGTCCCACCTGTAGTCACTCTCAGACGCACACTCTGTGTGGGGCATCCACTCTCTGCTGGTTTCCCATTGTGTGTACCTTCTCTCTGTCACTACTGCCATCTCGGTCACTACTGCCATGGCCCTAGACTAAGGTTGACATCTGCTTCATGGAGATTTTAATAACTTGCCCGAGATCACTCAGCAACTTACCAGTGGGACAGCCGAGTGTCCATTTGGGTCTTACTCCTCCAGTCAGGAAGTCTTCCATGAGTCTAGTCCTGCTGGCCCTGTTTCCCAAGGCCCTGGGTCCCAACCTCCTTTGTTTGTCCCCAACCAGGTCTTAGAGGAGGGTCCAGCTGCGGGCTCAGCACCTGGGCGCCAGGTCCTGGTGGTAATGAGACCCCCACCCAGGGGGCCTCAGCAACAGGTAAGTGGCAGAGTGAATGGAGCTTGGGGCCTCGGGAGTGAGCCCCTCAGCCAGCCCCTCAGCTCTCCTCCCTCCCACAGGAAGAGTTACCAGAGCCTGTCAGTGTCCTCTGCCGCTTCCCCTTCTCCTCTGCCCTGCAGCGTATGGACGTGGTGGTGACATGGCCAGGGGCCACCCAGCCTGAGGCCTACGTCAAAGGCTCCCCAGAGCTTGTGGCCAGCCTCTGCAGCCCCGAGACAGGTGAAGGAGGCAGACCCAGAGTCCGCTAGTGGGTGTGAGGATCGAGTGGGGGTGGGTTCCAGTCTGTGAGACACAGCCCCCCTCCCCACTGATAACTCTCTCCCCACAGTTCCCAGCGACTTTTCTCAGGTGCTGCAGAGCTACACAGCTGCTGGCTACCGAGTTGTGGCCCTGGCTGGCAAGTCACTGCCCATTGCACCCAGCCTGGAGGCTGCTCGGCAACTGACAAGGTGAGCCCAGCCCCACAGTATTTGGAGGGAGGTGCTAAACCCAGGCAATTGTCCGTCTGGACACTGGCAGATTCCTGCTTGGCCTCTGACCTGGAGATGCTAACCCTCTAGGGACACTGTGGAGAAGGACCTGAGCCTCCTGGGGCTGCTGGTCATGCGGAACCTACTAAAGCCACAGACGGCCCCAGTTATACAGACTCTGAGGAAGACAGGCATCCGTACCATTATGGTGACAGGTATTATGGCCCTGGGGATCCATGAGGAGGGCACACCCTGTTCTGTCCTGATGAAAAGTGGCTTCCCAGCATCCCTTGCTGCTGAATCCTTTTGGAGCAAGGATTCCCACTGGAGCAAAAGGGCCTTCGTGGGCAGTCCGTCTGTCTGTCCCACACACCCCGGCCCTGTGCTTGCATATGTGTGCCGTGCCCCAGTCTTGACATGTGAAGTGCAGAGCTGGAGTCCAGCCCCCAGCCGCTCCTCTGACTCTCTGGTGGCTCAGTTTGCCATGGAGGGAAACAGTCCAGGAGCGTGGCTAGTTGGCTAGTTTGCCCTGCTCAGCCATGGTTGACCGTTCTCGTGGATGGTCTACCTGTAAGGGTCAGGGTGGGGTCATGATGACGGGCCCTGGACAGTGTTAGACTCTCACCCTGCCTCACCCCTAGGGGATAACCTGCAGACAGCAGTCACTGTGGCCAGAGCTTGTGGCATGGTGGGCATCCAGGAGCCCCTGGCTATCATCCATGCCACCCACCCCGAGCAGGGCCAGCCTGCTGCCCTCCAGTTCCTGCCAACAGAGTCCTCTGCAGTCATGAATGGAGCAAAAGTGAGACGAACCCCCCAACGCTGGCTGTGCCCCACCCAGTGACCCCATTCCTTGTCACCTGACCCAGGACCAGGCTCCCGGGAGGGAAAGGGTTACTGAGCTGAGTTTCCTGATTCCCTAGGATTCTGTCCAGGCCACAGGCTGTCCCATGCAGCTGGAACCCCAGTCCTGTCACCTGGCCCTCAGTGGGTCCACCTTTGCTGTCCTTCAGAAGCACTTCCCCAAGCTGCTGCCCAAGGTACAGCTGCCCGGGGAGGGGCCTTGCACTGCCCGTGTGTGTGTGTGTGTGTGTGTGTGTGTGTGTGTGTGTGTGCGCGTGCTGCCCAGAGAGGGACCCTGCACTGCCCGTCTGTGTCTGCACTGCCCGTCTGTGTGTGTGCACTGCCCGTCTGTGTGTGCGCTGCCCGGGGAGGGGCCCTGCACTGCCCATCTGTGTGTGTATGTGTGTGTGCACGTGCTGCCTGGGGAGGGACCCTGCACTGCCCGTCTGTGTGTGCACTGCCCGTCTGTGTGTGTGCTGCCTGGGGAGGGGCCCTGCACTGCCCGTCTGTGTGCCAGGCGATGTGTCAGCCCTCCCTCTTATGCCCCAGGTCCTGGTGCAGGCCACCGTCTTTGCTCGCATGGCCCCAGAGCAGAAGACAGAGCTAGTGTGTGAACTGCAGAGGCTTCAGTGAGTTGTGTGGTGGGGACACTAAAGGACTCGGAATGAGCATGAGCGTGTCCCTCTGTCCACCTAACCTCCTCGGGGATTAGTGACCCTTCACCTTTCAGAAGCACCCAGAAGCCAGACGTGCTGGCATATGCTGTAATCTAGCACTTGGAAAGCAGAGGCAGGAGGATTGCTGCTAGTTTGAGGCCTTTGTGGACTCTGTAGGGAGACTGACTCAAACAAGCAAGCAAAAAACCAGAGCTGAGGCTGTCACTTAGTGTGTTCCAGGGCAGCCAGGAGTACCCAGCAAGGGCCTGTCTCAATAACAAGCAAATACAGCTCGTTATACAGCCCACCTAGGCTGGGCTGGAACTGTGGTAGACTGCCTACGTAGCATTTAAGAGACCTTGGGATCCATCCTGAGCACAGTAAAAGATAGGTATCCAGGCAGGCTCCCCTGTGTCTGTCATGCCAAAAATTTACCAAGTGCCCTCAGTCATTAGGCTGGACTCTCCCAGTAGCCTGTGGAGGCTCAGGCCGTGCCTGTCCTTTCTGTCAGGTACTGTGTGGGCATGTGTGGGGATGGAGCCAATGACTGTGGGGCCCTGAAGGCAGCTGATGTGGGCATCTCGCTGTCCCAGGCAGAGGCCTCAGTGGTCTCTCCGTTCACCTCCAGCATGGCCAGTATTGAATGTGTGCCCACTGTCATCAGGTAAGACTAGTGGGGCCTGTTAGGAGGCGGGGCCTGTCAGAAAGGAGGCGGGGCCTGCCAGGAGGCGGGCCTGTCGGAAAGGAGGTGGGGCCTGTCAGCAGCCTGAGCCAGAGAGGTGATATCCCTCCGGTCTGTCTTCGTCCCTAGGGAAGGCCGCTGCTCTCTGGACACTTCCTTCAGCGTCTTCAAGTACATGGCCCTATACAGCCTGACCCAGTTCATCTCTGTCCTCATTCTCTACACGGTGAGCATCGGTAGAACCGCAGACCCCACGCCAGTACCCCACGAATGCCGCACCAGGGAGAAGTCAGGGCAGCGTGGCTAGGAGCCCAGTGCCTTCTGAGATGTGTGACTACCATCTGCCTGCCTGACTCAGGCAGTGAAGCTCATGGGGTTCTAAACCTTTGACAGGGGTCCTGAGACGTGAGGCCACTGGCTTGGGCTATCAACTAATTCCTGAAGCGTCCAGTCTGTGCATGCGTGTGCGTGTGTGTGTGTGTGTGTGTGTGTGTGTGTGTGTGTGTGCATCCCAGGGTGTTGTACATGGTAGAATTAGACCCTGGGCAGAGTGACCCGGAGCCAAGTGACCCTGCCCTGCAGGCCCTCCCTTCCCCTGCTCTGCTCAGAGCATGCCCTGTTTGTCTCCCCTGACGGAGGAGTGATGAGCCAATCCACATCTACCTCAGGGTTTCTCTAGAGCAGAGACAGTGTGGCCCCACGGGCCAGCCCTCGTGGGTTTTGCTGTATGTAAACAGCCTTCCGCAGGAACTTCAGACTAAGGGCGGGGACAGCATGTATCGGATCACTGGGTCACGCCTCCTAAGGATGCTGGGTCAGACAGAGGGCAGGAAGGGTTCTTCCCCAGGCTCCATGAGGACTGGGTCTCTGCAAGAGCTGGTCCTCAGCTTCCCCTGGCCTCTCCTGCCGCAGATCAACACCAACCTGGGAGACCTACAGTTCTTGGCCATCGACCTGGTTATCACCACCACAGTCGCGGTGCTCATGAGCCGCACGGGCCCTGCACTGACGTTGGTGCGAGCACGGCCGCCAGGGGCGCTGCTGAGCGTGCCTGTCCTCGGCAGTCTGCTGCTGCAGGTGGCCTTGGTGGCCGGCATCCAGCTGGGGGGCTACTTTTTGGTCATAGCTCAGCCCTGGTAAGTAGCAGAGTCCCTGGTACCAGCCCTGCCCCTGCCTCTGCCTCTGACACCTTCACTCTTTCCCTAACCCCACTGCTGTGGTCCCCAGGTTTGTGCCTCTGAACAGAACTGTGCCCGCCCCGGACAACCTGCCCAACTACGAGAACACGGTGGTCTTCTCTCTGTCTGGCTTCCAGTACCTCATCCTGGCCGCAGCGGTGTCTAAGGGGGCACCCTTCCGCCAGCCGCTCTACACCAACGGTGCTGCCGCGTGGGGGGCTGGGGGTGGGCTGAGGGGTGGCAGCCGGGATGGAGAAGGGATCCTGAGTAGAGTGTGCATTTGGTGTGTGACTGTGTGTGCGTGCATGTGTGAGTGCATGCATGCGTCCCAGGGTGCAGAGCCATTGCTGACAGACTCCCCCACCCCCAGTGCCCTTCCTGGTGGCCCTGGCGCTCTTGGGCTCTGTCCTGGTGGGCCTCATCCTGGTCCCCGGCCTCCTGCAGGGGCCACTAGGACTGAGGAACATTGCGGACAGTTCCTTCAAGTTGCTGCTGCTGGGTCTGGTCGCCTTCAACTTTGTGGGCGCCTTCATGCTGGAGGTAGGGCCCACACTGATAGAAGCTGTGGGAGGGATGTGGGGGACCAGCTGTCCCTCCACACCGTTCCACTGCCCTCTGCAGAGCGTGCTGGACCAGTGTCTCCCAGCCTGCCTGCGGTGGCTGCGGCCTAAACGGGCCTCCAAGAAGCAATTCAAGCGGCTGCAACGGGAGCTTGCTGAACGTCCATGGCCTACTCTACCCGTCGGCTCCGTGAGGTAGCAGCCTTGGAGGGCGTACTGAACACTGGATCTCCCTGCCCCTGAGCCACGACTGGAGCTATCTCCAGAAACAGTACCAGTCACCTCCCACAGCCCCGAAGCTGGTTGCCGTCACACTCCTTTCTGGACACACTCACCTGGGGAAGTGCTGACTGCTGTCTCACTTTAGACCATCCTGTGTAGAGACAGCAGCTACCAACTCCATCCAGAGCTGTGGGTCACTGTAGCAAATAAAATGCTGGGTTCCTGTCTTGGCAGCACTGGTCTTGTATCCGGACACTGGTGTGTCCCACTGCCCAAGTCCCATGCTCACACTGGATACCTGTCTCTGACCTGACTGTCCTTTTCATCCGATAGGATGCTTCCCATAAGTGGGGTGTATGTTGTACACAGCTTAGCCTTTTATTCATGCGATCTTGTGCCCTACAACTGAAGGCCCAACCCCATTTTATAGATGGCCATGACTAAACTGAGGCTTGAGGTCACAAGAGTGGGCGCGCTGGGTCTGACCTCAAGTTCCCTATTCCTGAACCTCCTAGCCCTGCCCACAGGAGAGAGGAGCCATGGGCTGGCCTCAAGATGGGGCTTTGCAGAGCCTGAGAGCCATCTCACTGAGAGGTTGTCCTCTCTGCCACTCCCACATCCCAGGATGTGTTTGTGGTCTGGTTCCTCAGATAAAGGCAGGCTGTCAGCCCAGGCCTCCCAGCCAGAACCACAAGCCCTGTCCCCTGGGAAGGGTGGGTACATCTGACTTCATCCCACCAGTGGGCTGCTGGCCAGGTTCTTCTGCTCTGGGGATGCCAGTTGGCTTGGCTCCTGGGTAGGGAGGACAGGGAAGAAGGGCCGTTTCCTCTTCCTCGGCCTCCTCCAGCCTTGATCCCGGAAGCCTAATGCCATACAGGCCACTCAAAGCTCAGGGTATGGTGGGTCAGTCTGGGGTGAAAGGCTTACCCTGGTACCTAGTTCCAGCTGGGCCATGTGCTGTGGTGGTGGAGAGGTCTGTGTCTTAGTCCGTGTTCCATTGCTCTGAAGAGACAGGGTTTCTCTGTGTAGCCCTGGCTGTCCTGGAACTCTGTAGACCAGGCCATCCTTGAACCCAGAAAGATTCACCTGCTCTTCCTTCCAAGTGCTGGGATTAGAAGCATGCACCACCACCCAGTGCAACCACAGCAGCTCTTATAAAGGAAAACATTTACTTGGGGCAGGCTTACAGTTTAGAGGTTCAGTCCATTGTGGTCATGGTAGGGGCCATGAAGGCTTACAATTCAGAAGTTCAGTCCATTGTGGTCATGGCGGGGGCCATGCAGGCAGGCAAAGTGTCAGAGAAGTAGCTGAGGATTCTATATCTGGATCTGCAGACAGCAGGAAGAGAGAGTAGGCCTGGCTTGAGCTTCTGAGACTTCAATGCCTATCCTAAACCCCAACCCCCTGCCCTATGACACACTTCCTCCGACAAGACCACACTTCTTGATAGTCCCTATGGGCCTATGGGGCCCAGTTTCATTCAAACCACCACAGTTGGGATGACAAAGTTGGGTGGATTTTGCTGACACTCCGTGGGTCCATTGGCCAGGCATGTGCCAGGCCTAAAAGTCAAAGAAGAGCATGTGAAGTCAGCCTCATCTGCATGCAGCTTCTAACCCCGAGTGAGGCTGTTGGCATATGGGGAGTCATCCAGGAGCAGAGACCCAACCCCAACCCTCCCCCTACCTCAAACACCTGCCTGGCTCCTCAGGACCAGGGGAGTGGACAGGAGCAGCAGCCGATCCTGGCCAGTACTCAGAGCTAGTGGCCATAGGGGCCTCAGTTTCCCCCTTTTGTCAGTACAGAAAGGAGCATTTCTGCCAGGTGGGTTCCCTTCCTGCTCAGGTGGGCCTGACAGCAGGGGACAGCTGGCTGACCCAGAGCTCTCTGCTCCCTGGCTGACAAAGGTCCCTGCTATGCTGCAATAGATACACAGAGCAGGGTAGCGCAGGTCATCAATAGACCAGAGTCAAGAAGTACACAGCACGGACTATTATCATTATTCCAGGATAAGAATGAGTGTCTGGGATGGGACACTGAGGACGGGGGAGGCTAAGGAAGAACAGTGGGGTGTTTCTGGATTGAGGGCAACTCCAGGGTCAGAGTGTTGAGGGGTTAAAACTAGACTTGGTGTTTGCTGAACTTGATCTTCCCTAATCTGACTCTTCTGTTGTTCCAGGAGGAAAGGAAGGAAGGAGAGGAAGGGGAGGAAGGAGAGAGAGATGGGGGAAGCAGGCAAGGTTTCATTTCCAGCCCCGTGACCTCTGGGCTCTGGGTAGAGAGGCTGGGATCCCTCTGTGACAGAGGGGTGACCAGCCGGCTGGTTCTATTAGAACCAGGCCCAGGCCCAGACCCAGCGGCGTTGGGGAGGGGCTGGAGCCTCGAGGGTGCGTCGTGGCGGCGGCGCTCTCTAGGACCCAGCGACTCCGGGCTAGGGGCGGGCGTGGGCCTTGGGGGCCGTAGGGGGGCTCTGGCTGCGGGCGGCACTCTCAGCCGCACTAGAGCACAGCACAGAGGCCCCAACAGGTAGGCGCGGGTCGGGCATGCCCAGGGGTGTCTGAGCACCATGCTCCGCACTCGGATCCTGGAGCTGGGGAAACTTTGGGGACCCTAGCCCCAGGATTTGGAGTGGATGCTGAGGGGGCATCTGGCAAGTTGGGGGATGCAAGATAGGGTAGGTAGGGAGCTGGAACTTAGGGGTCACTAGAAATGGGGGTGTTGGAGGACAGGACAATTTTTTGCCCTGCGCCCCCCCCCCATCCCCAGTGTTTGGGATGTGGAGGGCGGGGCAGGGGTCGGTCCGGGAGACAAAGAGAGACCCGAGTTTGAGAGCCAGTGAGCGTCTCAGCAAGTTTCCGCCGGCTGATTGTTCCCAGCTGTACAGCAGGGCTCTCGCAGCATCTTGTGGGCCCTCTTCGGTCTGAGCCAGCGAGGGGGCTCCCAGTCTTCCCTTAGAACCACAGAGGAGCCAAGGGGCTGGAATAAGGCCGAAGTTGTGGAGTGGGCCAGAGGTGGGGGCGGGTCAGCCATCCCGATTGCTCCTGGCCTCCTTAAGGCCTCCCAAACTCAAGTTTTAGAGTTTGTCTGGGTCCCCTGGGAGCGATTCATTATTCTCTTCTTCTTGTTGGAATTAGCCAATGAGCCCCATTCCCTGCCGTAAGCTGGGCCTGGGTGCGAGTGTGGGAGGAAGGCTCTGACACACTTTGGCAGCCAATCCGTGCCTCCCCACGCACAGGGACTGTTGTCAACCTCGGGTCTGGATGGAGCTGGTGATCCCCCTACCACGAGGCTGCCCAGAGTTCAGAGCGGGAATGTGGAGCAGTGGTCCTTATGGGAAAGGGTCTAAGATGCCCCACCAGAGAGAGGAAGCTTGTGGGAGATGTCTGAAATGGGCAAGGTATCAGGGAGTCTCAGGAAATCTTAGGGAAACTGAGGTTAGACACCTTGTTTCTACCTTTCCCCTTCTCTCCCTAGATTCCCAGGGGGACCTAAAACAGAATTGGGGTTCAAGCCGTTGAAGAACTTCCCATGGAACATCCATGGGGGGTGGTTAGGAAGTCCTCTGGATGGATAAGCCTGTGGGCAGCATCTAGAAATCACCATCCACTGACTAGGGCAGGGCATAGCCAGCTGCCTCTGTAGCCAGCCAGCACTGAAGGCTGGGCTCATCCAGGACATATCCTGTGCAAGTTGTGACCAGTCACCAAAACTATACTCTTGTTATCCAGTGTCATGTCAAAGATTGGAAACCCCTGGCCCGAGTGACTGCCTCTCCCAGCCAGCATGCTGGGAGCCAGAGGCAGCCCACCTCCTCCAGATCTTCTTGCCTTGCTTCCTGCCCCTGCAGACAAAACAGGCCTCAGTCTCGTGCTTGTGTGCTCGTGTCTGTAGTGTAGACAGCCAGGTCTTGGGAGGCCTGGGCCTGGCAGGAGTCTTCTTGGAGCTGGGAGTCCTGCCCAGCCCTGGCTGCTCTGGGGGCTCCCGGGGCCTGTATGCATGTGGTTTCCTGAGCGGCATGCTCAGGGTCCAGGGGCTAATTGGGAGCAGGTGGCAGGCCTGGCAGATGCTGCTGAGCTGGTGGCTGACTGTGGTGTGGGCTGGGCAGGGCTGGTACCCAGGGATGTGCCTGAGGTCATTGGAATTCACAGAGTACATCAGAAACTCAGGGAGGTGAACGGCCGGAGGTAGGCAGGCAGGAGTGTACTGAGTACAGCAGGGGTGTGTGTGTGTGTGTGTGTGTAAGTGGCTATTAGAGAGGTCGCTTCAGTGAGCAGAACTGAGTCGTGCCTGTCCACTTGTTAAGAGTTTTTGTTCTTTTGATTTTTTTGAAGACAGGGCTTCTTGTGTAACCCTGGCTGTTCTGTAGGCCAGAACAGGCTGGCCTCAGTTCAGAGATCAGCCTGCCTCTGCCTCTGCTAGGAGGAAAGGTGTGTGCCAACACCTCCAGGCAAGACCGAGGTTTTTTTGTTTTTTTGTTTTTTTTAAAGGCAAGCTCTGGAACTTCCTTCACAGCCTCCCCCTCACAGGAGGGCTGCAGGTGACCCTCCCCAGCCTCCGGATGCCTGGCTCTTGGTGTCCCTGGCATAGTCTGAAGCAGGGACAGAAATATGTTCCGCCATCCTGGGCCAGCTGGGTGCAGCTAACTCTCCTCCCCTGTCTCTCTAGCTGTCCTCAACACCGCCACCACCACCACCGCCTCCTCACTCCATGGCCATGAGAGCTGCCTGCCTCTTCCTGCTGTTCATGCCCGGTAAGCAGCTGGTGGGTGGGGCTCCCAGGTGAGACTTCTTCTTACCTCAGGGCTAGAGCTCCACTGCTGGCTCCTTCCCTAGCCCTGCTTCAGGCCTGCACCCCACAGTGGCGGAGCCCCGAGGTAGGGTGTCCAGGGACTGGGCTCTGCCATTCTGTACAGTCTTGGTCTTTAAGGGTTCTTATCCATCACACAAGCAGGGATCAGTGGGGACTGCAAAGGCTCTGGGGGCCGCCCACTGAACATGTCTATGTTCACTTCATCCATTCACTGAACACATCTCTGCTGACTTCCTGTGAGCCAAGTACTGGAGACAGCTGTGAATTAGGCAGACACGCCTGGGGCCTGTCACGTGACCAGGCTAGGGACCGCGAAAATATCAGGCAAGCAGACGTGGTAAATTTCATATTGTGTTGAATGCTATGATGGAAATACACAGCAAGGAGCTGGAGAGATGGCTTGGCTCAGTGGTTAAGAGCACTGGCTGCTCTTCCAGAGGACCCAGGTTCAATTCCCAGCACCTACCTGACAGTTTACAACTGTTTGTAACTTCTGTTCCAGGGGATTTGACACCCTTACACAGACATATGCGGTCAAAACAACAACAATGTAGATAAAGTAAAAATAAATTATTAAAATGAAACAGCCAGCAGGGGAGGGGGGTCAGAGATAGCCCAGCAGAGCTGAAATGTTAGGTGAGAATTCCTGGAGTAGCCAGGCCAGCTCTGGCAAGGGCAGGAACTGACCCAGGACTCAGGGTTTGGATTCCGAGTCTGAGTCAGGCTGTAGGGTGAGAACCACCACCTACTTTCTCTTTGTCCTTCCAATGTGGGGTGCCTCCATGTGACCCCTCCCCTTGGCAGGTCTACTGGCTCAGGGCCAATATGACCTGGATCCGCTCCTTCCGTTCCCGGACCATGTCCAGTACAACCACTATGGCGACCAGATTGGTAAGAGACAATGCTTTCAGTGTCCCCAGTGCTGCGTGTCACTTGTCTGCCACCTACCCCATGCACATGGGTCAGCCAGGAACCCATTTTGGTCGGGTGGTAGGATCCTAGGACCAGATTCCTGGCTCATTTGTGACCTCTTTGCCCTCATTTGTGACTCTCCAGGGGCCATGGGCTAGCCTGATCCCATGGGCTAGCCTGACCCCACCCATCCTTTCTCTATTTTACTTTCAGACAACACAGACTACTATGACTACCAAGGTAAAAGTCTGGGCTAGGGTGGGTGGGGCCAGCTGCCTGGTGAGGACCCGTAGGGACCTTGCAGGGCAAAGTGAGCAGGAGGCCTGTGACACCCTCCCTGCTGCAGAAGTGAGTCCTCGGCCCCCTGAGGAACAGTTCCAGTCCCAGCAGCAAGTCCCACAGGAAGTCATCCCAGCCCCCACCCCAGGTAATGCTATCTCCCCAGGCCCAGAGCCTCATTTGCCTCACGATCAAGGGTCTGAGCTGGCCCTGAGAGGGGTACCCCAAATAGCCCCCTCCCAGTAACCCCTGCCTATCTCCCCACACCCACACCAGAACTGCCAGCTGTAGGAGACCTGGAGACTGAGCCCACGGAGCCTGGACCTCTTGGTAAGAACCCCCAGAAGCTGGAGAAAGCTGGAATGGCTCCAGAGGGAAAGGGCCTTGTGGGATCTGCAGGGTTAAGCCACAGTGGGAGGCTAGACCTGCCCCTAGGCAGCGCTAGACTCTCCCACCAGGCATCCTCACTAGCATCTGGCCAGAGCCTAGGGAGGGGGCAGCACTGTCTTGGTGCCACAGCCTGGACTGTGTGGTGCCAGTGGGGAGATGAGGAAGGACCAATAAACCCAACTGAGTGCCACCAGCTGAGGCCCGAGAGGAGAGGCCTGTGTGTGAGTTAGTTACATAGTAGGGTATAGAGCAGCCTGTGAGCAAGTGTGATACTCTAGTGGCCAAGTGGGGTAGCTGCCAGTTTGTGTTCCAAATGGGATTGTGACTTTGTGTGAGGTATTAAGTGAGGCAGTCCTACGCTACCTGGGTGCTGGATTTGTGTGGGTATCTGGGCAGGGCCTGAGGGTGCGTGGGGACCCAGACCTCATGCATGAGCCTCCAGTCTGACCCACCTGTCCCCAGACTGCCGTGAAGAACAGTACCCATGCACCCGCCTCTATTCCATCCACAAGCCTTGTAAACAGTGTCTCAATGAGATCTGCTTCTACAGGTGAGGGTGAGGAGAGGGAGGGACGCTAGGGGCAGCTTGCTGAGTCCTCAGGTGGAGTGAACTCTGAGGGTGGGTCTATGCCTGGGATCCTGGGCTCTCCCAGTGGCAGTAGGTGAGGGTGTGGCTAACAACATCCCTGGCTCATCTCCCAGCCTCCGCCGAGTGTATGTGGTCAATAAGGAAATATGTGTCCGCACAGTCTGTGCCCATGAGGAACTTCTCCGAGGTAGGAAAGCCTCCTCCCTTTGTCCTACCCACTTAGTTACCTGGCTGTCTTCTACCTGTACTGTCTGGCATGGAATATGTGCCCAGACCCACTTGCAGGCTGGTGCAGGCTCCCCTCCTCCATCCTCACTGGCACAGGGCAGTGAGTTCCCGGCCTGACTTCCCCTCCTTCTAACAGCTGACCTGTGCCGAGACCAGTTCTCCAAGTGTGGTGTGATGGCCGTCAGTGGCCTGTGCCAGTCTGTGGCCGCCTCCTGTGCCAGGAGCTGTGGGGGCTGCTAGTGTGGAGCTGGTGTGAGACCCGAGCCCTGGACCCAGCTCGGATCCACCTCAGGGCCTGCCTGACCTGGTGCTTCTCCCCATCCTGCCCTCCCCTCCATCCCAGACATCAGTGGGCTACTACCCTGGGGAGTGTGGTCATTGCTGTCTTGGGCCCCTCCCCAGCCTGTGGCCATCCCTAAGTGGGGGCTCCTGACTGTCCAGTCTCCACCCCTTAGTGGGGTTCATCCAAGGCCTCTCTGTGGGGCCTGGGGTTCTCACTGTGCCTTAGTGCTTGGAGGCAGTCCTCCTCAAGTCTCCTCAGGTAGGCTGTGCCCCTTACCCAGCTGGTCTGCTTGGATTTCCTATGCCCCCAGGCATGGACCACCTCTGTTTTATACAAAATAATAAAGTTTGTACAAAAGACCCATGGTCACTTTTGTGTCCGGGGACAGCTTGATTGCCACCAATACTGCCAGCCCCCAATACAAGGGTACCCAGCTCCTTAGAAGAGTGTTGGGTGGCTCCTCTTCTGTGTCTCACACCACCCTACCTTCATCTGTCGCCTAGAGGGAGGGGCCTGATACTCCCTTCCAAGATGCAACTCTTCATGTGCATGTAGAAACAAACAAGTCGGCCGGGCGGTGGTGGCGCACACCTTTAATCCCAGCACTTGGGAGGCAGAGGCAGGTGGGTCTCTGAGTTCAAGGCCAGCCTGGTCTACAGAGTGAGTTCCAGGACAGCCAGGGCTACACAGAGAAACCCTGTCTCGAAAAACCAAAAAAAAAAAAAAAAAAGGAAAGAAAAGAAACACACAAGTCATTTGGGTTCCTCTGGGAGCAGTAGGGATTGACACAGTGTTTCCTATGCTGTTCTGGGGAGCCCTCCCGACAGGTCTATGTAATGGGTAAGATCTCTGTCCCCAGATGACAGTTATATGACCCCCAGAGGCTCACAGCCGCGGGTGTCGAGTGCTCTGTGAGCTTCACTGTCGTCACGCCATGACACAGTTTCCCACATGGGAGCACAGATTGCCACATGGGGCACTTATGTCCAGCATCACTCAACAGAGCCAGGGCAAGACTGTGCACCCAGCCCTCCCCTACTGCCGCAGACCAAGCTGTCCCTGAGCCCTGGCACTATCCAGAGGGTCACCCAAGCTCATGGGGCGGTCGCGGCACTGTCTGCTCGAAGCTGGATGGAGAGAGGGGTTCCTCATGCTGTGAGGCTGCTGAGCTCAGCTAGCACGAGCTCTGCCCCTGCTCGCCCAAGCAGCCCCAGATAGAGGAAGCATTTGAGTGGACAGCCAATTCTAGAAAACAGGTCATGTTACAAAAAGCACAAAATTCTCCACAGTGAACATTATAAAAAGGTATAAAATACAAGGGCTCTCAGCTCACGAGGGAGCTTTCCGACAAGGATGCCAAGGGGAGCTCCTGGGAGCTACTCTGGCTCAGGTATCCTTTCCGGGGAAGCTTTGCTCTGCTGCTGACAGAAACAGGTGCTCTCCCTGATGCCTGACTGGTTCGGCCGTGCAGGAGAGCCTTGGCCATCAAGAGGCTCTTCCAGGAGGCCTTGGGTAGTACAGGTGATGCAGCAACTCTAAGAGCGGTCTCTCTGCCACCCCAGCTCCCTCACACAGCACTCTGATGACCAGGCTCTGGGCAGGTTATGCTACAAAGGGCCTCTCTCCTGCCCAGGGGACTGCTCAGGATACCAGTGGGAAGGGACTCATTTCTCGGGGGTGCCAGAGGGTAGGGAGATGGATGCCGAGCTCCTGCGAAGCTCCTGGTGCAGCTGTGCCTTCAGTGTGGATACCTGAAGAAGAGAAGGGCCCAGCGGCCCAGGCCCCAGCTGACTTCAGGGACGGGGGCTGAGGAGGGGTGACATGCCACCTGCCGCCTGAGGGCTGGAAAGCCTACTTCTCATTTGCTCCTCATGGCAGTTAGGTGTCAGTATGCTTCGGCACCCTTATCCCCTCAGAGGCGCGGCTGTGTGAAGCAGCTCTGCCTAGCATCATCCCACAGAGCAAGAGCTGTGTCCACTCCCAGCCCTGCCCTGTTACCAAGCTCTCTGAGACCCTGCCCTAAGGAGGACCACAGAGAGGCAAGGAAGATCTGGCTGGGCCAGACTCTTGCAGCAGTGCCTGTGACCAAGCTGGGCCTATCCAAGCAGCTAGGCTCTGCATTAGGGCAGCCAGAAGTGACCTCAGTGGCCAGTAGGAATCATTTCTCGGGCTAGGACCCCGGGAAAGAGGCCTCTTTGCCTGAGATCCCAGGTTGCTCAGAGAGCCTACAGCTGCTAAGGGAGGCGTGCCATGGAGGGAGACGGTCTGATGGCTTGGAGCCATCAGGAGATACTGATGTCAGGTAGTATCACGCCAGCCGTGGCTGGTACCAGCATTGAGCTGTTTGGCCCTTTTCAAGTGGTAGAAGTCATGAGCAGTCCTCTTCTCTAGCCCCACACTTCCACCCCAGCTCCACCTTCTCTCAGGAGAGGTCCTTCCTTGTACCTGTTCCTCCAGCCCCGACACCCGCTGGCGGTGGGCCCGTTCCCGTGCCTCCAGTGTGCGCTCCGTCTGTACCTGGGCACTGCGCAGACGCTCAACCTCCTGTTGCAGCTCCAGTTGCTGCTCCTCCGCCTCCAGCTGGACCGGACTGTGGTTCCCCTCCAGGGCTACCACCACCTGTGCCTATAGACAGGGGCTGCCAATCAGGGTTGAGACCCAGCATGCACTGTAACACTGGGTCATCCCTTATCTCACTGGCTCTGACAGTGCACTTTCCAATCATGGGTCAGGGTCCCCAGTGAAGCTCACGCCAACAGGCAGAGCCAGGCCTACACACACAGAACAAAAGCAAGCATGTTCGCACAGATGCACACATGGGTACAAAGGCACAGTAGCCTGACAGCTGCATGTATGAAAACATGGACACAGGCCACATGTGGTTCACGCTGTCCCCATGAGCAAGCCTCCACGGTCACTCAGGCCTCCATACATCCACAGTACACAGGAACCGCAGGCTTGACCGCTAGTGAGCCTCCGTGCTCTCCCTCTCCACCAGGGGAGAAGGCTGCTCTACCGCCCAATGAAGACACTCTCTGGGAGGCTCCAGGCTCCCCTGCTGCCTCAGGCACAGGCAACGCCCCACCCCCAGGACTTCCTGTGCTCTGCATGGGCATGGCACTGGGGACCAGGCTAGGGGAGGGGCAGGGATGACCTCCAAATGTTGGATCTGCTGTTGGGCCTCGGCCAGGTCCAGCTCTGCTCCTGTGAGTGTGCGGTCCAGGCGGCCTTTCTCTGCGTTCAAGCGCAGTGTGTCCTCTCGGCTTCGAAGCTTCTCGCGCTCAGCCTAGGGGAGGAACATGGAGAGGGTTCACAGGAGCTCTGGAGGATAATCTGACATCAGGAGACCGGGAAACCAAGGGACGTCCCAGCAGAGCAGGCACCTTGTCCAGTGTCTTCCTGAGGGCCACACGGTCCTTGTCGAGCTGCAGTGCTGACCGCTCCAGCTCACGTTTCTCAGCCTCCAGCTGGGCCAGGGCTCGCTGCAGACTGCCCAGGCGCTCCTGCAACAGACGCCGCTCCTCCTGCAGCTTCTGGACGGAGCGCAGAGCCATGGCCTCCCCTTCCTGCCGCTGCCGCAGCACCTGCGGCACAAGCAGGTCCTTCGTCCCACTGCACCTCAGGGTGACCATCTCAACGTGGGGACAAAGGTGCTGGCCTGCTGTGCCCACTGTGTAGTAGACAACTGCAAGGCCCGTGTAAGGAAAGAGTGGAGACCAGATGGTTCTCTGGGGCATATCGGAGTGAGTCAAGACGAGCCATGCTTCCTCACAGGCGGCTGGGTCAAGGTTTGGGGTGAAGTTGAAATATGTTCCCCAAGGGCTACACAGGGCACCCCTGTAGACAGAGGCCCTCCCGGCCTCACCTGCTGCAGCTGCTGCAGCTGGCCTTCTGCATCGCCCCGCTGCAGCTCCAGGTTGGCCAGCTCGCCTCGCAAAGTCTGCACCTGTTCACTCAGGGAGCTGCTTTGTCTTCGCGCTTCAGACAATGCCTGTCTGGCAGCATCCAGCCGTTCCTAGGAGACAGGGGCTGATTGTGCCAAGCCAGACTGCCAGCCTGAGCGAAAGGCTTTCCTCTAATCTACAGTTCTCCGTAGGTTCATGGTCTACCCTCTGGAGGCAAAGCACCTAACTGTTCTAGCCTGTTACCAGTCACGTTCACTGACCTGTGTGAAGGTGACACCCACTCATACCCAACTCATAGCCGGTTTCTTCTTTCTCGGGGCAGCACCCCCCTCTAAGCTTCATGATTGGCTAATTCCTTTGATCCATTCCTACCTCAAGACCAGAATTCCTGACTGACAGCCCATTAGCCAACTATCGGGTCCCTCCACACTTGCTCTCACTGGCTAACTCTCTTACTGGCTAACTCTCTCACTGGACTGTCACTGGAAGAGAGAGATATATGGCAGACCACAGAGCGCCCAGACCTGTAGCACTTGGCGGTCATGTTCACAGGTACTCAAGGCCTTCTGTAGGTGCAGATTCTTGTCCTGAGTGCTGCTCAGGGTGGCGTTGCTCTGGGCCAGGGCATCTGTCAGGCTCTGTACCTTGCTCCGCAGGGTCCCCTCGCTCTCTTCCACCTTGGCCAGTGCCCCACTGAGCCGCTCCACTGTTAGCTGTAAGGTCCCTGCCTTCACTTCACTGTCTGCCACCTGTTGGGAAGGTAGAGGATGGTCAAGGGCTCCCTTCCCACTGTGATGGCCACAGGAGTGCTAACCTACGCTCCTCTGGGCCTCATCCAGACTCCCACTGGCTCAGCCTACTACTGTGGCCTGGCCTCACCCCACTGTGGGTTGATCACCCTGTCCAGAGCTGTGTTAACCTGGCTATGTGACAGACAAGGACATCACCACTCTGAAACTCCACTTGTCCACCTCCGAGACCTGATGGTGAAAAGATGTCCTCACGGGCTTGGGAGGGAGCTGCACAATGCCTGAACAGAGCCTGGCAGGGGCCATGTAGGTGTGACCAGGAGGGAGAGGGCCCTACCTGTCTCTGCAGGGAGTCCACCCGATCCTGGAGGGCCTGAGCATGGGCCTCACGGTCCCCCAGGCCCAGGCGGCTGCGCTGCAGCTCGCCCTCAAGAGCACGCCGCTGCAGCTCCAGTTTGATGGAGCGACTCTCAGAGGCATCCAGCACCTCCTTCAGTCGCCGCTTGTCACTCTCCAGCTTCGCCTCGGTGGCCTTCATCTTGGTGACTTTCTCCTGTAGGTAGCAAGGTTCAGCCCCAATGCCTGCCCACGCCTCCCCACACTCCTCTGCACCACGGGGGGCAGGGGGAGGACAAAGCAGGGTTAGCCTCAAGGACTGTGTGACCTGAGACCAGCCTGTCACTGCTGGGCCTCAGTTTCCCCACTTGTCACAGGCTAAGCAGATAGGAGGGTCCCAGAGCTGTTTTCTTTAAGGAGAAGCTAAGGTGTCATGTGACCACAGTATGTCTGTACTGGGGGGGCTGGTCCAAAGGTGACACTACCTAGGGACTCATGAAGTCCCCGGGAGGGAGTTGCAGAATGCAGATGCTGGACCCTTCCCTGCTCTACAACAGGGCTTTCCAGACATGGCTGGGAACACTTCTGAAACCTGAGCTGAGCCTGGCAGCTACTGCCGAGGCGCAGGGCCCGGCGCAGAGTTTTAATGGATGGTCTCGCTCCCCTGCTCAGGACTCAGTGCAGGAAGCTTCAGAGTGGACACAGGTCAGGAAGAACTTGAGACCATTCAATCCACACAAGTACCCCAGAGCCTCACTGGTCCTGGGTGTCACTAGAGCCTTGCTACTTCGTGATTCTCCAAGCCCCTCCCTGGCCTGGCTGGCCTGTGGGGAAGAGGGGGCCCCATTCTGGCTTCTACCCAGCTTTGTTCCTGGCCTCCTCCCAGGCCCCAGGGGCTGCTGGGCCCAAAGCCAGAGCTGAAGCTGCAGACACAACAATCCAGTTCCAGCTTGGTCCCAGCCAGAGGCGGGGGTGGGGGCAGCTGGAGAGAGGGCAGGGGGCTTCAGCTGTGAGAGGCTGGACTATCATCACACAAAGCCTGGGCTTCCTGCCCCAGACACAGACACACAGAAACCTACGCATCAAACAATGCTCTGCCATTTGTGCAGACATTCAAAGATCAGGCCCTGGCCAAAGCTTATGAGTCCTGCCTCTGTGTAGCGAGTACAGGTGAGCCCCACCCAAAGGGTGACAGTGGGAGAGCAGGCTGTCCCATGTCAGATTGGAACCCTCTGTCAGACTGAGGCCCCAAGCCCTTCTCCCTGATGCACATACACACTCGGCAAAGGACTAGGATCTGCTCCATGGAAAGAGCCACAGGCTGTCCCCACAGGCTGTCCCTACAGGCTGTCCCCACAGGCTGTCCCCACAGGCTGTCCCCACAGGCTGTCCCTACAGGTTGTCCCCACAGGCTGCGACTCAGGCAGAGGATCACAGAGAACCCTAGGGCCTGCTCCCACGGGCCCTCCCCTCCTGCCCACCTGGCTGGCTCGGAGCTCGCTCTCAGTGGCCTGCAGGCTCCTCTCCAGCACTGCCATCTGGTCCAGCGTGGCCCTGCACTCCCGCCTGCTACGTCGGACACTCTCTTCCTGCAGTGCCAGCTCTGCCTGGGCCCCGCTCAGCCGCCTGTCTGCACTGCGCCAGGCTGTGGCCACCACCCAGTCCCATCAGGCAAGCCAGGAAAGCCCAATCTGTACCCCACCCTCTCCAAGCTCTGCCTGGACCATAGAGGTCTGTAGGTTTGGGCCCACTGGGGCTGCCCAGGCAAGGTCTCCTGGAGGAACCAGCCCTGAGTCAGGTCATAGGACAGGACTGGGCATAAGAGCCACTAACACCAATTCCCCAGCCTCCCACCTCAGGCGCCAGGAGTGTAGGAGGGGAGAGGGATGCGGAGGGAAGACTCACCTTCCTCGCTCTCAGCTACTGCCTTCTGCAGCTGCTTGGCCCTTGAGGCTGCATGGTCTCGCTCTGCCTCCATCTCAGCCAGCTGTTGACTCAGGGTGCTGGTCTGGGCCTTAAGTTCATCCTGTATCCCCAACAGACAGGCAAGGGGAGGACCTCTGCTCAGACCAACACAGCTCCTTTTTCCTAGGCCTTGGTCTCCCCACCCAGCCATCTTCACCAGCCTCACCCGCTCCCGCTGGGCACTCCGCAGTTCTTGCAGAAAGTCTCGGAGGGCATCACGCACAGCTTCTGGGTCCAAGTCTGTAGGTGCCGGGGAGGCACCAGGCCCTGGAGATGGGGGCTGGGACCGAGGGCTATATTCCAAAGGACTCGGGCTGCTGAGACCATCCCCACTTCCTGGAAGGGAATATGTATAGGGACACAGAAGGCACTGGGTGGTGGATACAGGCTCTCCAGATACCTCCCATATTACAGTACCCATTAGCACAGAGTGAGCTGGGTTATCTTCCTGTCTAGTTACCCCTGTTCTTTTTTTTCAAAATGGGGTTTCTCTGTGTAGCCCTGGCTATCCTGGAACTTGCTCTGTAAACCAGGCTGGGCTCAAACTCAGGAGATCGACCTATCTTTGCCCCTGAGTGCTGAGATCAAAGGTGTGTACCACCACCACCTGACTCAAGCCCATCTTCTTCTTTTTTTAAAAATAAAGTAGTTCTTTTTATTTTATTTACTTTTTTTTTTTTTTTTTTTTTGGTTTTTCGAGACAGGGTTTCTCTGTATAGCCCGGGCTGTCCTGGAACTCACTCTGTAGACCAGGCTGGCCTCGAACTCAGAAATCCGCCTGCCTCTGCCTCCCGAGTGCTGGGATTAAAGGCGTGCGCCACCACCGCCCGGCTTTTATTTACTTTTTTAAAGGCAGGATCTCACTGTTATGCAGACCTGGCTGTCCCAGAACTCACTATGCAGACCAAGCTGTCTTCAAACTCACAGAGAGCTGCTTACCTCTGTCTCCCCATTGCTAGGATTAAAGACACATATCAAACCCCGCTTATTTTTATTGCATGTATATGGGTGTTTTGCCTGCATGTATGTATGTGTGCCACATGTATACCATGCCCATGGAACCACAAGAAGGCGTCAGACCCTGGAACTGGAGATAAGGACAGCTGTGAGCAGCCAAGAAAGTGCTGGAAATGAATCCAGGTCCTCTGCACTCCTTTCCCTGGCTCCACCAGACCTGTGCAGGACGCCGGTCTGCACGTGCGCAGGACGCTGTCTGCATGGCAGCTCTATTTCCCTTGCATTTATGTTTTGCCTTTTTTTTTTTGACAAAATATCTATTATTTGACATGTGTCGCTTTAATCTTTGTTTGCTGTTTGTTCTGTGGGTGTCATGCCTGCACCCAGGGCCCTGGGCATGCTAGGTAAGCATCCTGCCACTGAGATCCCTAAGCCCCTCTCTATTTTCTAAATGGGGGTGGATCTCATTATGTAGCACAGGCTAGATCTGACTTACAATCCTCCTGCCTCAGTCTTCCGAGCATGAAGACTGTAGGTATGCACCGCCATGTCCAATTTTATGCAGTGCTGGGATCAAGCCCAGGTCCCGGAATGAATCAGGCAGGCGCCATGCTGCCTGAGCTGCATCTGGCCACTGTAACCCTGTCAGGTGTGATCTGGGACAGAGTATATCCACGCCCCTGTGCACCTGTCCCCACATCATATCTCTTCCACCACTCACTCTTTCGAGTCCCCAGACTCGAAAGGTCATGTTGAACATGACCTCACTTGGTCACACGGGAATGTGGACCCCACTACCGCTGTCCTTATAAAAGGGGGAGACCCAGATGCCATGTGACCACTAGACTTGTGTCACCATGTACACATGCCACCAGCAGAGGGACTGTGGCCCTCAGCCCTCAGCCCTCTGGCCTTTGAGACAGTCAAACAGATAATTCTGCTTGTTAAGCTGCCAACTGTGTGACAGCTGGCCCACTGTCCCTAAGGAATCTACCAGATGCATCAAATACATACTTCAAGGCAGCCAGGCATGGTGCATGCGTTTGTATTCCTAGCATTTGGGAAGCTGAGACAGGAAGACTTCCTGATTGCAAGGCCAGCTTGGGCTACAGTGAGTTCCAGGATAGCCTAGACCTTTAAAAACCGAGACCAAACAATGTGAACACTGAACCCATATAATCTCACGAGACCACGAGCATCCCTGGATTCAGGGAGTCTGTATTCTCACGGTACTGAGGCTCACCCTGGATTCGGGGGTCTGTATTCTCATGGTTCTGAGGCTCACAGTGCCCACAGAGCAGTCGTGGCCAACCAAGATAAGCAGACAGAAAGCAGTGCTTGAAGCAGTAGCTCCCACTGGCTCCTTCCTGATCTCAGTAATATGGGCCCGCTTGCTCTTCCTATGGCCTCGTCTGTGCTGGGACTCATGTCTGTCCTCAGACTGCCTTACTCACTGAGTGCAATGTTTCAGGGCTGGTCTGCATTGGAGCATTTGTAAGGAGACTCCTTTTAATGGCTGAATACCACTCCTCAGGATGGATTCTGGCTCTGTGTTCACGCTGATGGGTATTTGGCATGCCACTGCCATTTGGCTATTGGGAACAATCTACACAGACCCTGCTGCAGGCCTGTCTACCACACTCCTGTTTGTAGTTCTTTCTGAGTCCACACTGAGCAGTGGGAATGGCGGGTTTCCTGTCATTAACGACTCTATTTCAGCATTTTGAAGAACTGTGAGCTGAGGTACAGTGGTGGCAGTGACCAGCAGTCTCTCCTTCACTTTCACTTTGGCTTGCCTGCTGTAGCTGGACGGAGCACAGGCTAGCACATTCTCTAGTTCCTTCTTACACTCTTCCTACATCTAGACTCTAAGCTTCCTGTTTCCTGCGCTATTCCAGTGTGCTGTGTGCACACTAGGTGCGTGGTGAGGACTGAATGTGTGACTAGTTCTATGCTACTCTGGAAGGTCAGACCCGGCTGTGCCTCGAAAGAGTGTGATTTGGGGACCCCAGGCCTGGTGTAGGGGTGCAGAGCTGAAATGCCAGGCTGGAGATCCATCAAGAAGATGGGATTCCAGTCTGGGGAGAGAAGTGAAGAGCACTGGCTGCCTTTGCTGTTGTTGTTGTTGTTGTTGTTTTTCAAGGCAGGGTTTCTTTGTAGCCCTAGCTGTCCTGAAACTCTCTGTAGCCCAGGCTATCCTCGAACTCAGAGATCTGGCATGGCCACCACTGACCCACCAAGCCAGCTACTCTAACTGAATACCTAGGTTTGATTCCTGGCACCCACATGACAGCTCACAACTATCTTTGGTAACTCCAATTTCAGGGGACCTAATGGCCTCTTCTGGGCTCTTCCAGCACCAGGCATGCACATACGTATGTACATACATACATGCAGGCGCTCACACCAGCACATAAAGATGAGACTCAAAGATTCCGAAAAGGCAAAGCAACAGTAACAAGGCTCCCTAAGGGTCCCAACAGTGAGGGCGAGTGGCCTCACAGCCATCCACTGTGCCTTCCCTGGGTGGACTCACCTCCAGCAGGCGCCTCCCGTGCCGGGGAGCTGGACACTCGGCCCAGGCCCAGGCCCCTGCGCAGGGCAGAGCGCAGGCCGCCCAGCTGGGCCTCGGCCACCCGCCGCTGCGCCTCCACGCCGGCAAGCTCGACCTCCAGGCCGTGTGCCCGGCCCTCGGCCGCACTCAGTCGCAGCCCCAGCTCTGAGGTCTCGGCCCGCACCGCCTCCAGCCTCAGCTCCAGGCTGCGAGCAGCGTCCAGAAGCTTCTTCTCAGCACCACGCGCCTCCTCCAGGGAGCCCAACAGGCCTCGCTCGCGTGCCCGGAACTCGGCCTCTTGCTCCTGCAGCTTCCTCTGCGAACCCTGGAGCTGGGGCGAGGGTAAAGCCGGGAGTTACAAGACCTCCCCTGCCCCAACCACCAGTGTCTTAGTGCTGTCTGCCCTGGGAGGAGGGGAGAGACCGTCCCTTAGGGAGGAGTAATCTGAATTTACTTCTTATCTGTCCCTGCTGTTTACATCTAACGTGCAGTCAATAATGACAGTGATAGCCACATAGTGCCAGGCAGCAAATACTTTACCAAAGAACCCATGATCCTGGGCGGTGGTGGCACACACCTTTGATCCCAGCACTTGGGAGGCAGAGGCAGGCGGATTTCTGAGTTCGAGGCCTGCCTGGTCTACAGAGTGAGTTCCAGGACAGCCAGAGCTACACAGAGAAACCCTGTCTCGGAAACAAACAAACAAACAAACAACCCAAAAAGAACCCATGATCCTTTCACTAATGATGAAAGAAGACAGACCTAAGACTCATGGTCCTTTCACTAAGGAGACAGGCACAGAGAGGTTAAGTGATGTGTCCAAGGCCACACAGGTAAAGGCCATCCATTACAGACTTGCAACACACAGAAAGCTGTCCTCTGGTGAGGAGCCACCTGTCAGTCATCGGTTCCTCAGGAAAGCCCCTCTAGTGAGCACCAGCAGTGTCCTCTCACCAAATCCTCAGACTGCTAGATAAATATTCAGAAGCCCCGAAAGACTGAGTGACCAGTAGACCTGGTGGCTGTATGACACTGGGCAGATGCCTTGACCTTTCTGAGCCTGTCTGGTTGTCCTGGTAAAATGGGGCTAACATTACCTACTCATGGGCAGGCTGCGAGAGAATCAAGCAAGGCTGTCTTCAGAGCCTCCCCACCACCTTTTGGGATCTGCACACATTAGGTCTACAGTTCTTTCGGTTGTTAGTACTAATACAACTGAGAGGGTGTCAGGGGCAGTGGGCTCAGCGTGTTCCTCTGGAGGGAGGGCAGGCATGTAGCAGCCCACCCTCTTCTGGCCAGCCCCCCACCTGCCCAGTTACCTCCTGCTTCAAGGCCTCCAAGCTGCTCTCGCCTTTCAGCAACTTCTGCCGCAGGCCCAGGACCTCTCGCCGGCTCTCCTTCTCTGTCCGCTCGCCCAGGGCCAAGCGGCCCTGCAGGTCTGCCAGCTCCCGGCTAAGCCTGCCATTGTCACTGTCCAGCGTCTTCATCTGTGAACCAGAGCAGGCAGGGAGGCCAGCTGGGCCCTTAAAGTTCTGCCCAGTCCCAGCCCAGGAGGCTCTCGGGATGGACCGACCTAGGACGCAGGCATCACCTTACTTCCCATCCATGGGTGAAGGGGGAGGGGCAACAGCAGCGAAGAGGTTGAGTTGACATCCAACTGATCTAGGAAGCACAGCTGGGAACCGCAGCTCCCAGGGTCTGTGCACTGCTACAGAGTAGCTAGAGTGCTCTGTGCCTAGCTGTTCTATACACGTACACCAACTGAACTAACCTTCATTTGTCCCTGTGTGTCTAAATCTGGTATAATGGAAGAGAAAACAGGCCAGAGTGTTGGAATGACTTGCCTACTACACAGCCCACAAGCAGCAGACCAGGTCTGATCCCAGGCAAGGGGAACATGAGGGTCTATTCTAAGTCCATTTCTTCCTAGGAGCGGTTGGGGCAGGGTCCACCCACCCACAGAACTATAGCAGGGTGGGACTGACCAGGCCTTCACACCGGCCAGGAGAGCCTAGCACGAAGTCCACCTGAGGCCCCTGCATGAGCGGCCTAGGTGGAAAGCATCATTTCCAGGAATATCATCCATCTCAGAGCATCAGTCTCCGGCTATCACATGCTGCCTTCTCTGAGGCCAAGGAGACTGTGTCCTGTTCCTTTGGCCTTCTAGAGTTGGGGAGCCTGAACTTTCCAGTGTGGGGCAGTGCCCAGCACTCAGCAAGCACTTGATTGGGCCTTGCTGGTGACAGGGGTGGAGGTCAAGTCAGAGGTGAGCTCCGCACAGCCTGCAGACAAGCTCAGCCATCCTCTGCCTCTGCAAAGGCAAGGATGGCTCTCTGTTTTCAAACGGTAGAAAATGGTTCAGACAAAACCAAAGGAGACAAAACCAGAGAAAAAAACAGTATTTCCTGACCCACGATAATACATGAAGTTCAAACCTGTGTTCACAGTGTGACTGGAGCACACCCCACGTGTTGGTATTCCATGTGTGCATGTGTGTCTCCCATCTCGTGCTGAGCAGAGATCAACACAAACACAAGCTCTGTGCGTGCTGAGCAGCGTCCTGCCTCAGAGCTGCACCACCAGCCTCTCATGGTTATCTTCCTCTTTAAAAAGTTTACTTTGAAGCCGGGTGGTGGTGGCGCACGCCTTTAATCCCAGCACTTGGGAGGCAGAGGCAGGCGGATTTCTGAGTTCGAGGCCAGCCTGGTCTACAAAGTGAGTTCCAGGACAGCCAAGCTATACAGAGACAATCTGTCTCAAAAAACCAAACAAAAAAAAAAAAAAAAAAAAAACACACCAAACAAACAAACAAAAAAACAAAACCAAACTTGACTCTGTCATGTTTGTGTGTATGAGCGCTTTGCCTGCATGTCCACTTGTGCGCATGTGCCTGTGGAGGCCAGGAGAGAACACTGGATGCCCTGAGACTGCAGCTATAGACATGCAACTGCCATGTAGGTGCTGGGAATTGAACTCAGGTCTCCTGAAAGAACAGCAAGTTATCTTAACCCTGGCGGAGCCATCTCTCCAGCCCCTACTTTCATTTCTTGGCAGTTCTGGGAAGCAGATGCAGGGCGTCATGCTGTAGGCAGTGTTCTCGCGGAGTGAATGAGTTTTTAGTTTTTATTTTGAACAGGATCTCGGTAGGTGAGACTGCTCTTGGACCAGTCTTACGACCCAGGCAGGCCTTGAACCTATGACCCTCTGATCTCAGTCTCCATAGTAGCTGTGATTACATGCCCGCCATGCCCGGTTACTATCTTACAACACTCAGGTAGGCAGAGATGGAGACAGCACACACCATGTAAATGTGGAAGTATTGAACTCTAGGCTGTCTGCTTGCCTGACCCAGCGCCCGGGAGCTGCTCCTTTACTGGTCAGGTCCTTTAAACTGGACAAGATGCTGGGCCTTCCTCTAGGAACACTTAAGTCTGAATGTGACCCAGGGCACAGAGGTTCTACAGAGGTTCACAGGTGAAGGAGCCCTCAAAGCCTACAGTAACCCCAGTAAACACTCACTGGTTTATCAAGTTGGACTTTTGGTGTACCCACTTCTTTGGTTTGCTGTGGGTTCCCTTCTGGGGTGAGCTGGTGTATGTGGGGGGTGGTATTGCGTCTCCCCAGAAAAAGTCAACCACATGAGCCATGCATGAAGGGTGAGGTCAGACGAAAGGCTTTGCTTTCACACACAGTAGAACTGGCCTCCCGTGAAGGGTGCTGCTGGCCAGAGCCTGAGGAAGCCAGGGACTCACCTGCCGCCTAAGCTCCTGCAGCTCCCGCCGAGCCTCCAGCCGGGATCGCTCCACCTCCTGTAGCGAGGCCCGCAGCTCTCCAGCCTCCTTGGCTACAGACACTCTAGCCTCTTCCAGGAGGGCCAGCTTCTGTTCCTTGTCCTCATTAGCAAGCTTCAGGCTGCAAGGCAGAGGCTGTCCTCGGACAATAGTTCTGTGCTCCAGGCTTGCCCTGCATCTGAGTTGCTCTGGCCCCATCCTGCCCCAGGGTAGCCTAAGCCCACAAGGCTGTCCTTGCACTGACACAGTACTGCTGGGGACAACAGTCTTGGGAGGGAGAGAGAGGCACAGCAGTGACTAAGGAGGAGGCTCAGTTTCCAGGATGACTGACAAAGGGAGGCCTGAGTATGACCCAACCTCTCTGCTGTCCATTCTCTGTGGTAGGTGAGCCACCAAACTGACCCTGTGCTAGGCTGTGCCATCTCCACGTGCCTCACTTCCCTAACCATGGGGTAAAGTGAGGTCTGGGACAAGGTGCCGCAGCCCTGTGGGGGACGGAGGGCCCTTTCACAGATGTTGTCTATCAGATACCATCTGCCTGTCAGGTATCTACATTACAAATCATAACTCTAGCAAAATCACAGCTATAAAGTAGCAAGGAAAATAATTTTATGGTTGGGGGCACCACACCATGAGGACGTGTACTCAAGGGTCACAGCCTTAGGAAGGTGGACCGCCACTGAGTCAGGGAGTGGGGAGCAGGCAGCAGCCGGGCAGTCCCCCGCAGTGCTCACCTGATCCTCTCGCTCTCAGCCTTCTTCACTGCAGACCTCAGCTCCTCGTTGGAACGCCGCAGGGCCTCACGCTCCTTGCTGCCCTCACTCAGACTGCGCCGCAGCTCACTAGCCTCCTGGCGATGGGCCTCGGAGCTGTCCTGACCGTCCCGAACCTTGCGCTGAGCCTCCAGCAGCTCCCGCCGCAGCCCATCTCGGGTATCCTCCAACAAGCGGAGCTGAGTCTTCAGCTCTTCTGCCTGTGGGTCCAGAGTGGGGTCAGGGTCCCTCAGGCGAGGGCCATGGCAGGACGGGCTTGTATGCCACCTCCCTCCCCGGCTAGGGGATTCTGTGGTCCCAACAGTGCCCATGGATCTATGGTGAGTGGCTGACCTCGGTGACGGTGTGGGATGAGGTATGCTAGACTCAGCAGTGCATGAACCTGAGACAATCGATGAGTTCCCCAAACCTCCCTTGCGAACATCGCTGCTTAATGACGGTTCCCTGCTCTGTGTGAGGCGGCCACTGTCTGTCCTCACGCAGGAGGACCCCCAGGGTCAGCCCCAGCACTCACAGCAGCACTCTGACGCCAGGACAGCAGTGTCTGCTCACCTCCCGCATGCAGGCCTCCCGCTGCCGGCCCAGGCTGCCCGTCTGCTCCTGGAGTTCTTTCACCTTCTGGGCATGGGCCGCAGTGGCTTCCTCCAGCTGGGCCCGGAGGTCTCGAAGTTCAGATGTCAGGGCGTTCACTGTGTTCTGAAGTGGCCAGGATCCTCACACGTAGTCCTGACGTGGCCCAACACCCACCCCGCTGCACTACCCCTCCCAGGGGCCTAGCACACCTCTGTGACTTAACGCTGACCTCTCTCTACTAGTGGTCTCACCAGGGAGGAGCTGGCGGCTACTTCCTTCAGTTGGGAGTACTGAAGGAAGGGCTCGCCCTTCCACACGAGCCTCTTCAGGGCTTCCACTCTAACAAGCCCCTGCAAACCATGCTGGCTTCCCCTTGGACACAGGCCCACCCAGGCTGCCTACTTACCCGGTCCTGTTCCTGCCGGCTCTGGGCATCTCGCTTCTGTCGTTCCATCTCCAGAGAGATGGCAGCCAGACTGTGCCGGGTTCCCATCAACTTCTCCGACAGCGCCGTCTTCTCAGACTCCTTCAGGGACAAGGCCTAGGCAGAGGCAGGGACGACAGGACTTGGTGTGTGGCTGGTCCCTTCTCCTAGCCTTTGCTGGCGCTCACTGGCAACACTGGCCGTCCGTGGGAGCAGCAAGGGCAGGGGTGCCTGTGCACTGTAGACCTCTGCTAGCAGCAGCAGCAGCAGGGCCTGATGTGGGTGTGTGCTACAGATCTAACGAATGCTCCAACTTCCCCGGGGCGAGGACTTCCATGAGTCTCTCGTCACAGATGAGAAAGCCACAGCTCAGGGAGAATGTGACTTGCCCAGGGTGACAAAGCAGGAGATGATTACAGTCTGTCCTGATCCATTACCTCACAGAAAATCAAGAATTAACTATCAGAAGGATCAGCAAGTGTCTGTAGGCACAGCCCAGAGGCATTCAGCCTGCGCCAAGCGAAGAGACAGCTTGCCTTGTGTCACCCGTCACTGCCACTGCGATAGGCCTCTAACTCTCCTGTCCTGCAGGTGAAAGCTGAGGTCCTGGAAGAAACTGGCTGCTTCCTGCACGCCTAGCTGCTGGGTGGGGTGTGCTGGGCAGAGGTTGGGGAGGCCCAGAGCCCCCCAGGCTCACCGACCTGCTGCTTCTCACTCTCGGCCAGGAGCAGGCCCTCATCCCGCTCCTGCTGCAGCGCCGCGATCTCCTCACTCAGCTCCTCCTTCTCAGCCTCCATCCGCGCCAGCAGCTCCTCCCGCTCCTGCTGCAGCTGGCCCTGCAGCTGGGCCCGCTCTGCCTGAAGCTCCCGCCATGCAGCCTCCTGAGGGCCAAAGCAGGGCTGTGTGACACACTAGGAGGGGCCCAAAAAGCCCCTTGCGGACGTTAGGTCAGAAAAAGGCCCAAATAACCCAGAGCTAAGAGACACGGAGGGTGACTAGGTCACTGCAGGGCAGGGCAGTGGAAGCCATGCTGAGGTCACCTCAGGTCTGTGAAGGCAACAGGGAAACCCAGCGGCCTGGGCTGGGAACAGGAATGGCCCTGGGGAGGATGGTCAGCAGCCATCCATGGAGAAGGACGAGCACTAGGCCAACAGGGTAGTCTGGAGGCCCTGAGGAAAGAGCAGGCTGAAACCTCATGGAACCTCATGGTGGGATGGGTCACGGTGACAGTGGGCCAACGCCAAAGGCAAGGTCACTGGGCCTGACCAGGTGAGCTATGGCACTGAGGGTTAAGGAGACAATGAGGACCTCCAAGCCCAGGTGATAGACAACATGAATTTTACTTTCTAAATTTTAGATGTATGTGTGAGAATTTGTCTGCATGTATGTCTATGCACCAAGCACATGCCTGGTGCCTCTGGAGGTTAGAAGATGGTATTGGATTCCCTGGAACTAAAGTTATGGATGGCTGTGAGCCATTGTGTGGGTGCTGGAAACCGAACCTAGTCCTCTAGAAGAGCAGCAAGAGCTCTTAACTGCTGGGCCATCTCTCCAGCTCTGTTCAGGCAGCTAGAGGGTTGTGTAGAGGAAAACAGGGCTTGCTGCAAAGAACTCTGGGACCCAGACTGGCAGAGAAGCTGAAGAGAATACAGACTTGTGGGCACTGACAAGGCCAGGAAAAGTAGGCCCAGGGGCCATAGTGCATGGCTCACTGGGAACATGATACACCATGGCAAGGACAGCTTTCTCAGGGTGAGAGCATTGCCTGTCCCCTAGAACTTCCTGAAGGGTGGTGGGTGAGGCCCCTCTTCAGGTGCTGCCCTGCCACCTGCTGGCCACATGTGGTAAGTTCCACCCAAATCCATGGAGGTGAGGGCAGATCTCTCTCACCACTTTATGAATCCTACAGGGAGAACATGAAACTTTTGGAGCTGCCCTGTCCAGGCTGTTTCTAGAGGCCCCTGTTCTAGGGATCACTCTGTATAGAAGATCCTCAAGGAACAGGAACTGACAGGAAATTTACTAAGCACAGGTGGCTATGCTAACCCCTTCTCAAGACCCCATAGCAATCCATCCCTGTTTCTATGGAAGGGAAAAATGAAGGCACAAAAACCTTATATAGCATCAGTGGAGTGAGAGCAAGATCAGCAAACTCAGGAAATGCAAGCAGACCCGGTGTGCATGGCACGCCTGCCCTGTCAGTCCTGAACCTTAGCTGGTGAAGTAGAAACATGAAGCTTTCCACTGCACTGTTTGCTTTGTGCCCTGCCTATTCTGGAACTATGAAGACCAGGCTGGGCTCAAACTCTGAAATCTGCCTGCCTCTGCTTTCTGAGTGCTAGGATTAAAGGTGTACACCACCACGCCCTGGTTTCTGCTATTCGATACATTGTCCTTGCTCTGATGACTGGGTCTCCATCAGGTTTGGACCTGGTTTGGGGCCTGGAATGCTACATATTTGATAAGGACAACTTCCCCACACACCTTCTCAGCTATCTCCAGAGCCTCTATGGCAGGCATCTGTTTCACAGATGTGGAAACTGAGGCAGGGCAAGACAGAGCAGCGCACAGAGACAGGGAGACTCAGAGCCCTGCCTACTCCTCCCCAGCTGACCAAACCTTCTCACGCTGGAGTCTTTGAAGATCCTCCTCATGGGCTGCCCGCTGCTCCCGAAGAGAGGCCTGTGCCTCCCGCTCCGCTTGCACTAGCTTCTGGGTCATCAGCTCCTTGTCCAAGGCCGCTTTCTCTTCAGCGGCTGTTACCTGCTGCCGCAGGCCTGCCAGCTCCCCTGCACAAGAGGGAAGGATGGCAGGAAGGCAGGGCTGAGTCACAATGTCCCTCTGGGCCAGCAGACTTGGGCTGTATGAGCCACATGGGCAAAATCAGCAGTAAGAGGGCATCCATGGCACCTATCCTGAGTTCCTTGAGGAAGCGGCTCACTCCCTCTGCATAGCCGTTTCCCACCTGTCTCACGGGCGGGCTCACTGGCTCTGCTCTCCTCATGTACAGGGGACAGAATGGCTGATGAGAAGGGCGTCATAGGGGAAGGATATCAAGAATACCGTCACCCTGTTACCGACACGCTTGCTGGGTCAGTCCATACACACTAGCACATCACAGCACTTGAGGGATGTGCTGGTTTAACTTCATCCTCACCAAAGGTGATGCTCCAAGACCAGTAACCACTCCCTCCAGCTTTGTGGAGTGTCTCCATTAGGGACAGCGCCCCTCACTGAGGGACAAAGGTATGTCCCACCTGGGTCAGTAAGTACATCGCCCAGGTGTGAGCCCAACAGCACTACCCTCCCTGGTCTCTCTGACTCGAGAGAGTCACTTTCCACGACCCCAGCAGGTGCGGGCAGCGCTCCTTTGCTGAGCTGGAAGGACCAAATACAGAGCGTGGGGAGTGTGGGAACCTTGGGCTGGGACCATGAGAGTCACAGCAGCAGCTGATGGTTTCCAGAGTTCTCTAGGGACCTCAGAACCCTCCAGCCTCCCTGATGACGAAGACACAGCAGCCACAGCTGGCACTGTGCCGAGGCCTTCATAAGCTCCTTCACCTCATCCTGACAACAGGCTAGGCAGGTGGCCATTCCCCTAGCTCTGGTGTCAAAGGAACCTAAACTCAGAGAGGGAGGGGCCTGTTCAGGGAGCCATATGACAGCTCTGGATAGGAACCCAGGCCAGCCATAGCCACACACCTCACCTAGGACTCCTAAGCTCTGCTTGACCCCCCAGTATCCACAGCTCAAGTCCAGCACAAGCCCCAGGACCCAAACCCTCGTACCAGTCAGGCCTTCCTTGGCCAGCAGCAGGGCTTGACTGTCAGCTTCTAGCTGCTCCCGGCGGGCCTCCAGCTGAGCCAGCTGCCTCTGCACGTCAAACAGGCTGCTCTCCAGGGCCTCCTTCTCCAAGCTGTAGCACATAGTCCCTGAGGCCTTGGGACTCAGCCTCCCCAGCCCCAGGAAACTGTGAGTCTTAGGGTGCAGCCAGTAAGGGCCAAATGCCAGCCTACCTGCCCAGCTACACCCAGGCTCCCTGGGGAAGACCACACCTGAGCGAGGCTGCACTGGTTAGCCTGGCTCCTAAGTAACTGCTCCTCTGGGTTAACCCCAGGGTGTGGCTGGTCAGGGTGTGGACCCAGCAGGGCCCCAGCAGGGAGCACACACGTTCCTTACCGCAGGCGAATGGCCTCCTCTGACAGGGTCCGGCCCTCCCGCTCTGCTGCTGCCAGCTGCACGGCCAGGCCGGCCCGCTCCTTGGCCATGGCCTCCTTCTCCCGGGCAGCGCGCTCCAGCGCCTCCACCTGCCGCTGGGACTCCCGCAGGGCCTGCTCCAGCTCCTGGTCCCGTCCGTTCAGCTGTCGGGAGAGCTGGCCGGCCCAGAGACTATGAGCAGCAGCCCTGGCTACTTTACCACACAGCACTCTAACGTGGGCTCAGGTTGAACACAGGCTCTGCACTGGTGTGCCTAGGCAAGCCCGAGCCTTTCCTAGACCTCCAAATGCACACGTGTAAAAACAAGGGCCCCAGTCACTCACTCTGCCCAAAGCTCCTGAGAAGCTGAACACAGCAAACGGTAAGGAGGGCAGCTGTCCACTCTGAAGGAAGGACCTGGAGCTGCACCTTCCTCCCAGGAGCCCTGGACCGCAGGACACTGGCTCCACTACAGGGCCTGGAGCCCTGAAGCCCTGGACCCTAAGCTGCCTTCTGGCTATGTGGTTCCAGTCTCTCAAGTCCCTACTTTCTTCATAAGATGGATCTTCACCAAGGCTGGTCCAGAGCCAGCTCTCCTCTAAGTGACAGAATCTTAGTCTCAGAGATAGACAAGTAGCCCTGGCAAGTAGGGTACAATAGCTTTCTCAAGGCCCTTAGCTAGTAGAGGTGAGATACGTATGAACCCAGCCAGAGGCAAGAGCTTGAGCCTGTGGGTTATCCCAGAACAGCCCGTGCACGGCCAGGGGACCCTGCCCACACATCTGCGTGGGGCCCAGCCCACCTGGGCCCCTGCCCACACATCTGCGTGGGGCCCAGCCCACCTGAGCCCCTGCCCACACATCTGCATGGGGCCCAGCCCACCTGAGCCCCTGCCCACACATCTGCGTGGGGCCCAGCCCACCTGGGCCAGCTGCTCCTGCAGATGGCTGCGCTCGCTGCGCAGCACAAGGAGCTGCTGCTCCAGCACCTCCCGGGCCTTCTCAGCCACACACAGGGAGCCCTCCAGGCCCTGCCTCTCCACCTCCTGCTCCAGCCTCAGCTGCTCCAACCGTTCCTGCTTCTCCACAGCCAGCGTAGTGGCATGCTCTGCCTGCTGCTGGCGGCCCAGGAGTGCCGCCTTTTCTTCCTCTAGCTGTATGGACAGAGATCTGGAGCAGCAAAGGGGCTCTCCCAGGACCAGGATGCCCCTCCATCCCACCAACAGTCACAGTCAGTCAGGGTGGCACTCTAGGGTGAAGGAAGGGTGTCCATGGGGTTGAGAACCAAGCACCAGAATAGAGCAGGGCTCCCGGAGCATCCTTCTATGATGTGCAGGACAGAGATACAGAAAGTCAGACAGGATGAAAGATGGACAGCTGAACAAACAGGGTAAGGGGTGGAGCCCCAGCAGGCCTCTGCAGTGGCTTCCTGTGGAAGGGACCTGGGGCTGGTGCACAGCATACCTGGGCAATGAGACGGTTTAATTCCAGCTTGTCCTGGGCGAGACTCTCATTGAGGGCACTCATCTTGGACAAGGAGTCTCGCAGGGAGGCCTCCTCTGCCCTCAGCTTGGTCATGGAGAGTTCCAACTGCACACGGCCAGCCTCAGCCTGTGGGGACAGGGAAGCAACAGAGGGGGAAGAGATCCAGAAAAGCAGACCTTGGCAGACTGGGTTGGGGCCAAGGAGAAAGAGTTGACATTAGTCAGGCAATCCCCATGAAAGAAGGCTGCAGTTTGGGGGCTATTTGGAAGAGCTGCCCAAGAAAGGACCGAAAGGCAGAGCTGGGTCAGAAGAGACTCCAGTTGCGCCTAGGGTGCCATCATGTAGAGCCTAGGCCGCCAGAAGTGGGGCAAGCACCTTTCAAGGACTCTCAGGACCATGACCCCAACTTCCTGAGTCCCAGGACACATTTCCACAGAAAGGATCCGATGACCCTGCGCTTCAGGCTCTGGTCCCTGGAGCCCCTGAAGATGTGAGGGTCTGTGGCCTAGGTCAAAAGTCAGCCTGTGGGCTAGGAGCCGGCTCAGTGGGTAAACCTCCTGCCGCTCAAGCAGAAGGACATGAGTTCACGTACCAGCTGTATGCAGAATTAACAAGTCTAATCCCAGAACAGTGAGGGCAGACGAGAGGATCCCCAGCAGCTAGAGATCCAGCTAGGGGACGACACACAGCAGGGGACAATGGAGGGACTTAAATAAGGTAGAAAACATAGATGGACACCGAGGCTGTCCCGACTTCATAAAAAACGCCAGTGTACAGGTGCTCGCGTGCTCACATGCAGAGAGAGAGGGGGAGAGAGGAGGGGAGGAGGAGGAGGAGAGGGAGAGACTTAAAACACAGGAAGAAACAGGTAAGAATAAAAAGTCAGTGTCTATCCAGAGGACGAGCTCGACAGCACACTCAGCCCGCAGCCTGGCGCAGGCTGGTCTGGCCTGTGGGAAGAACCACAAGTCGTGGGGCTGATGGCACTCACCTTGGTCAGCGCCTCGGCCACCTCTGCCTTCTCTGTCTGCAGCACATCCCTCTGCAGTATGGCGCAGCTCAGTGCCTCCCGCACCTCTACCAGCTCTTTCGTCAGCCCTGAGCGCTTCCCTTCCAGCTGCTCCAGCTGCCGCTGGCTGTAAGATGGACTCCTGTCACTCCACTGCTCTGTACCCCACAGTCTCAGGACACTGAGCCCAGGCAAGCAGGGCACTGGTAGGATCCAGAGGACAAGAGCCTGTCCCACAAGGACAACCTAGCCCACAGGCTCAGCTGTGACTCTGGGAGGCAACTGTCACATTTGTACGGTGCCCCGCAGGAGGTAGCTCAGATGGCGCCTGTGGCCTCCAAGGCTTCAAGAGCAACTGCCCACCCACTACACAGTGCTCTAAGCATGGCCACTGCCTGTGCCTCAGAGACCAAACAGTGCAGGGTGAAATCCTAGCTCTTCTGCCATCTGTGTACCCTGGGGCAAGTTTCATGACCCGCCCCAGTGCCTCAGTTGTACTATGTATAGAATGGGGCTGCAGAGATGACTCAGCATTAAGAGCACTGGGGATGCCTCCAGAGGGCCCTGCTTGGGTTCCTGATACCCACAGGGTGGCTCACAACCGTCTCTAACTCCAGTCCCGGGGATTCAGCACTCTCTTCTGGCCTCCACAGGCACTAGGCACGTGAGTGGTGTACAGACAGATATGCAGGCCAAACACTCATGAACATACAAAAAAAGTAACATAAAGAGACAGCTATCCACAAAATGGAGAGAATTCTCTCTAAATCATGGAGGTATGTGGGAGGAGTGGGGGCTCAACAAGGAAGCCCCCGTGCTTAGACGGTCTCTGGCACTCTATTGTTACTGCTACTGTACGGTTTTGTTCTTGTTGAGACAGGGTCTCTCTACCTATCCCTGTCTGCCCTGGAATTCACAGAGATCCTCCTGCCTCTACCTGGTGTGCACAACCATGCCCCGTGCTTTAAGTTTCTTAAATGAGAATTATTAATCTTTGTTGTTCTTGTCCCCTGAGCAAGTGCGTCCCTCCTGGGCCCACAGTGACTGCACTTCCTAAGTCACCTGGGGAGCGGGGTGAGCAGCCCACCTGCGCTCCAGCTCTCGGCGTGCCCGGGCGCCCTCCTGCACCGTGTCCTCCTGCTCGTCCTCCAGCTGGGTATGCTGACGCCTCAGCTCCTCCTGGGCAGCCTGTAGCTTTTCCAGCTCCTGGCGCAGCTCCTCAGCTTGCTGCTGGGTCACCTGCAGGCTGTGGGTCAGGTTGCCCTTCTCCCTATAGGACAAGCAGGCAGAGGAGAGAGTTTCTGAGGCTACTCTCCCCCAGGGGTGGTGGCTGGACTGACTACTCTGACCACCTCCTCTGTCCTCCAGGAAGCCTTCCCTAGTGATTTCAAACCTAATTCACCTCATTTACAAGACCCAGCACTGAGAACCTGGGTCTCCTTCTCCCCAGCCTGCATACCTATAGCCCCAGAGGAATGGACGGAGATGCTGGTGTCACCTATAAGCACCTCAGCAGGTAGAAGAGGCCAGAGTCAGGTTCTACAGACACACAGGCATCAGTGGATGGCCAGGAACCACCTTGTCATGAATCACCCTCGATCGGACAGAGCTAGATCTGTCTGGATCCCAGGCTCCCGTCTGCATGAAGTGGCAGCATCACACAGTGTACCACAGAGAAAGAAGCCACTGGGAAGGCCGAGGGCTCACAGAGAATGGCCATCTTCCAGCTCCATGGCCATGAGCACGGGCTGGCTGGGGTCCCTAAGTCAGGCTGAGGGCTGCCCACTCTCTACACAGAGTGCCAGCCCCTGGATATGCTGACGGCTGCCCACTCTCTACAGAGTGCCAGCCCCTGGATATGCTGAGGGCTCCCCACTCTCTATACAGAGTGCCAGTCCCTGGATATGCTGACTACCAAGGTGGCAAACAATTGGTATCATGACATTAAGAGCAAAATGCAAACGAGGATCTCATCATAGACACAGTTATGCAAAAGGCCCGGTTCCTTTCCATGGAAGGAAACCAAAGGCCCAGTCAGTCGCAGGTGAGCCCCTGCCCCCCCCCCTCCCCGCCATTCTCACTCAGGATGTGAGTCTGGAAAGTCTTCCAGCTGCTGTGTGACGATGACTCTGACAGACACACACGAGGAGGGATCACAGGCACAGCACTCAGCAAACAGCCCAGAACACAATAGGTATACAAGTGCACGTGCATACACACACACATACACCCCTACTGTGTGTCCATGCTGCCAGGACTATAGAAGGCAAAACCAGAGCTCTGCCAGGGTCAGGGTGAGCAGATGAAGATGGGGGGGTGGGCTACACTTTGAGTTCACCTCTATTTTCTTTCTCCCTTTCTCTGTTTTCTTTTGTGGTTGCTTTTCCAGACAAGGTTTCCCTGTGTTCCCTGGAACTCCCTTTGCAGACCAGGCTGGCCTTACTATGTAGCCCTGGCTTGCTAGGAACTGCTATATAGCCTGGGCTGACCTCAAACTTGAAACAATCCTTCTGCCTCAGTGTCCTAAGTGCTGGGTTACAAATATGAGCTACAAGTCTCTGTTTTTTTTTTTAGAGACTTATTTGTTTGAGACAAAGTCTCACTATGTAACCCTGGCTGGCCCAGAGCTCCCTGTGTAGACCAAGCTGGCCTTGAACTCACGGAGATCTGCCCACCTCTGCTTCCCAAGTGCTGGGACTAAAGGCATGGACCGCCATGCCTAGCTTTCCTGTTTTTATTTAGGAAAAGCAAATTTAAAAAAAACAACAAAAAATTTAAAAACTACCAGGCAGCTAAGGGGAAAATAGGATAATGTGTCATTAAAAGAAATTTTATTACATTTGAATTATTTCTGTGTGTTGTGTGGGGTGTGGCACGGCACACGACTGGAGATCAGATGTTAACATTGGTGCATGAGTTCTCTCCAGGACACGCTGCTCTTGCTGAGGAGCACTGGTTCTCAGCAGCCACCCTGGATGGCTCACGGCCACCTGTAACTCCAGACCCACAGGCATCCAGCTGACAGTGCTGGCTTCCGAGAGTGCACATGCCTACATGCGCACACACGAGCTCACACACACATACACACACACACACACACACACACACACACACGAAACCTTCTTTTAAAAAGTCTTTACCAGGGCTGGGCATAGTGGTGTATGACTTTAATCCCAGAATTTATGAGGTGGGGTCAGGCAGATCTCTCAGTTCGAGGCCAGCCTGGTCTACAGAGTGAGTTCCAGGACACTCTGGGCTACACAGAGAAACCCTGCACTGACAAATAAATAGTTAATTTTTAAAAAAACTGTCTCTAGGACGCTGGGCTGTAGCTGAGTGGTAGTGTTCTTCGCTGGCATGCACCAGGCCTTGGGTTTATCCCCAGCCAAGAGGCAACCAACCAACCTACAGTAAACAGTTCAGAACAGCACTGAGAGCAGAATTCTAGAATGGTCTATAGCCACATGTGGTAATCAGGGCCCCTGAAATGTGGCTAGGGTAACAAATGAATTTTTATCTCCTTGAAAACTAAATTTTCCCTGCTGGCTGGTGGGAACCGTCGGGCTGAAAGGCCTGGCTGGCTAGGCCTAGCACCTTCTGCTGGCCCCTAGGTCCCCCGCACCTGCTCAGGAGCTCGTTGGCACTGCGGAGGCGCTGGGCCTCGCGCTGTGCATCCTCTTGGGCCTGGGCTGTGGCTGCTGTCTGGTCCCGCAGGCGCTGTAGCTGCTCCTCCAGGCCACGCCGCTCGCCCTCACTGTCACTGAGCTGCTTGCGCACGGAACCCAGCAGGTCTTGGCTGGCTTCATAGCGCCCACGCATGTCCTGGGATACGGGGGTTGTGGGGTCTGGAGAAGCCCACTCACTCTCTCCTAACAGCTCCATAGCACTGGGCGAGCCTGGGGCAGCCGACATCACGCCTCCACACACCCCTGTGCCCCCACCTCCCTACGTCCCCGGGGTCTGGCAACCGCCCAAGAACACCGGCCCCTAGACACTGACTCCACCCACAAAGGCCCAGGCCCCGCCCCCTTGTGGCGTCCCGAAGCCGCCCCCCACCCTCTGGTTCCTAAGCTTTCTTTATCCTAGGCTCAGATTCCTCTTTCCAGACTTGTCTGAAGGTCCTAGCTCCAAGTTTTATCCCCTTTTCTTGGGCTCTAGCCCCTTTTCTGAGGCATTGCCAGCCATCCAGGCGTTCCAGACTCTGGCTCTTTCTAGAACTCTCTATCAGCAGCTATTTCTCAGGGCCTGGGCCCAGCCCAGCCCCGCCCCCGGGTCTCTGGCTACCTGGACCTGTAGCTGGCGCTTGTGCAGGGCACAGTGGATCAGTGTGAGCGTGGAGGAGTCAGAGCAGGCTGGGGACAGGCCTCGGCGCGGAGAACGACCTCGACCCGGGGAGGAATGCCGCGGTGGAGTTGGGGTCCGCTGGCCACAGAGCCCGCGCAGGCTGCCGTCCGAGGTGTCCGCAGTGCGCTCTGAGCTGCTAAGCTGGACGCCACTCTCAGTGTCAGATAGGGCAGCCTTGGGGGAAGGAGGCAAGAGGAGTAGGGGTTAGCTGCTCACAGGCATGGGCGAGGCGACGGGACACTTCCCACAAGCCCCTTTCCCCAAGAAGCCTTCCTGAGTCTGTAGCCACCAGTGTGCAGCCTGCCAAGCCAGACCCTCCTGCTCACTGCCCTTCAGAACCCTCCTGGTTCTCACAGGGGCTAACTGCAGCAAGCAGGGTGAGCCAGTAGAGGTGAACAGGCCCCACCCCCTTCCCGTTCACCCCAAGGCTCCAAGGCAATGTCTGGCCAGCCCTGTGTGGGCTGTCAGCATACCTGTGCCAGGTCCCTCAGGGTCTGCTGCAGCCCCTCTCCATCCTCAGTGTCCAGGGCTGTCTGCTCCTGGAGCCGCAGAGACTCCTAGTGACAAGACAGACTGGTCACAGTTATGCCAACATATGAAGTTGCTCCTTCCTGGTCCCCTCAGGTGGCATTTATGGGCATACTTCACAGGCCTGCTGTCCTCACTATACAGATGAGGCCCAGCGACACACAGCACTCTGTCCCAGTCATCTGGGGTAGTGAGGAAGAGCCCAAACTGCCCTAGCAGGCAGTACCCTGGGGTGTGTGTCTGCTGGGGACGAAGTGGTCTGCCCCTGGGGGGGGGTGTCTGCTGGGGACACAGTGGCCTGCCCCTGGGGGGGTGTGCCTGCTGGGGACGAAGTGGTCTGCCCCTGGGGGGGTGTGTCTGCTGGGGACACAGTGGCCTACACCTGGGAGCCCAAGAGGGGATCTAAGTACTACCTCCCTACATACTGAACTGGAGACTCTTGGGCTTTCCTCAACTGTGTAACGGCTTGTGGCAGGGGATGCAGAAGGGCACAGAGGAGGGGAATGTCACTGTGCTAAGCCTGGCATGCACTGTGAGGACAGCACCTGGTCTGGATGGGACAGTCAACGTGGCCCAAGCAGCCCGGCCATGGATTTGGCTGGCGTTCAACTCACCATGGCCTCCAACTTGTCAGCAAGAGTCCTGTTGACCTGGTCCTTCTCTGTGTTCTGGTTCTGAAGGTGCTCCACAGACAGGGCCAGTTCTGTCACTCTGGAGGAAAGGGCAAAAAAGGTGAGTCAGGGATCTGTCTGCCTGTCAAGTTCACCAGCCTGTCTGTGTTTCCTGAAACTCAACAAGGACCCTAGGACCTCCCTCCGCGGGTCTGGGACCTGGAGTAAGTCGCTCCTTGCCTGGCGACCTCTGGCTCTTAGGTGAAACATGGGAATGCGGTTGCAGCTGTCTCTCATGAGAGCAGTGGGGCTCACCCAGGAGGCAGGAGTTAGGGGGTCATACATGTCATCAGAGGTCAGACATGGAGCCTCCCCAGGGAAGGGCCCAGCCCTGGTGAACATGCTCCCGAGGCTGCAGGGGAGTCAGCTGTGGACGGGCCTGCTACCACCCACCTGGCACTGAGATCGGCCTTGTCCAGGTCACTCTGCACCTGCAGCTGGGCCAGGTCCTTCTCCCGGAGCAGCTTGGCCTGTAGCTGCTCCTCCAGCTGCGCCTGCAGCAGCTTTTGCTTCTCCAGAGCCGCCTCAGCCCTGCTCTCAGCGCGCTGCAGGCTGGCGCTCAGTCCCAGGCCCACCTCCTGGACAGCCCGGGATGTCCGGACTAGTTCCCCTCCCAGCTGCAGCAGGTCCCTGAGGAAGAGCAAAACAAGGGGGTGTGGGGGTGGCCCCATGTACAAATCAAAACTGCCCTGTGACACTCTCAGTCACTATCAGAGTAGGGAAACAAAGTCACATTGTGTCCAGTGGGAGTGAGGCTGTGGGGAAGCTGGCCTGCCCCACACAGCTGACGGGAGGGTAAGAGGGTAGGCCCAGTGGAAGGCAACTAGGAAAAGCCCTTGGCGTCTATGACACTTCTTCCATAGGCCCAGCACAAGGCAGAGGCAGGTGGGTCATGTGGCACAGCAGAAGTGGCAATCCTGACGATACTGAAACATCCATCAAAGAAGAGATATCACTGTCAGACAAGTGATGGCAGATCCAGTCAGCAGGTCTACAGCCGAGCAAGACCAACAGGGAAGCTACTCCTGATGGGTGCGCCTCCCAGGAAAGCAGCAGATGAAGAAGGCTTCTTCAAGGACAGCAAAGCTGAGCCAGGTGGAGGCACAAGCTTGCCACTAACACTCTCAGGCGGCAGAACAGGATAGTAGCATTGCAGGCTAGCCTGGACTACAGAGTAAGAACACTCCCTCCATAAAAAGGGGGTGGGGACAGTGAGATGTTCTATGTGTAAGGGACCTGCTGCCAAGTCACATGACCTGGGTGGGCTTGGAGACCTACATGATGGAAGGAGAGAACTGACTCACAGAAGTCATGCTCGGTCACCACATATATATATATATATACATACACACACATACACACACGTATGCACGCACGTACACACACATACACTAAAAACAAACTGGAGAAGCAATGATAAAATTATACAGAGTATATATACCAAAAGACAAAAGGGGTGTGTGACAGACAGACAGACAGGAGTGGAGTAGGAGAAAGCTGCCTTATTTGCTTTACAAACTAACCCAGGAAGGCGACATAAGAAACTGGGTGTCCTCACTTGCCCTGAGAAGGGGAGGGGTCACATTAGAGGGAGGGCAGACTTCTCACCAGCACGGTTTTGAAATGGAAACCCCAAGTATGTGCCCTAGTCAAGAGTAAAATAATGAGGCCAAGACAGGAGGGGTTCTCTGTGAGTTTGAAACCAGCCTGAACTACATACCAAGCTCCAGGCCAGCCAAAGCTACATACGGAGATCTTGTTTCCATGCTAATAAAAGCCAAGGCCCACTTTAACGTCCCACTGTGTCCCATTCTCTGCAGGAACTGCACTGCTGAGCATCCACCAGCAGGGGGCAGGAGTGCCACACAGAATTCTAGCTAACACGCTGTAGGTCCGACACAGTAAACAGACATGGGCCCCACGACAGGGGCCTCCTGTGTGGAGGACACTGTACTGCTGGGGGTTTGAGTCTCCCCAAGAAGACAGCAGTCTGCGATGGAGCCACAGATCTGTGGCAGGCTCACATAAACACAGGACAGCAAAAGCCAGACTCCGGGAACCCCCGAGGACAGACGCCGCTTGCTGAACAGATAAAAGACTTAAGAGACTCAAAGAAAAAAAACCTTTAACCAGGCATGGTGGGCGACACAGACCTGTAACCCCAGCACTTGGAAGAACAAGATCCAAGCACGAGGCTGGGCCACAGCTCAGTTGGTAGAGAGCTTGCCTCACTCATGCAGAGCCCCAGGTTCAATCCCCAGCAATACATAATCCTAGCACACGCCTGTAACTCCAACACTCAAGTGGAAACAGGAGGAACAGAAGTTTAAGGTCACTGTCCTCTGTACAGTGAGTTTCTGGACAGCCTGGAGTACATAAGACCCTAAGGAAAAAAGATTAATGCCTGCCTTTAATCCCAGCAGCAATCAGAAGGCAGAGGTAGCTGGATCTCTGAGTTTGAGGCTAGCCAGACCTGTATAGTGAGATGACATCTCAAATTAAATCATATTTTGTGAATATTTGTGGCTTCTGAGTCAAACAAGCTATGAAGACAAAAAGGCTTCAAGTCTGAACTCAGCTACTCTCTGCTGTGTGACCTGAGAAGGTCACTCAACTTCTCTGATCTTCAGTGTGAAATGGGGGAGTAGGAGACTTCCTGCCTCAGAGTAGCACTGAATGCCACGGGAAGAACGTAGTCCAGCTGCGCCCCAGCAATGCCTCTTCCTGCCAGCTGCCTCTGCATCCCCAGAGGCAGCCCGGGGCACGACGCACCCCATGCTCCCCAGCAGCCAGGCCTCACCTCTCTGTCCCCATCTTGACCTCGCTGGCCAGCCGTCGGAGCCCCATGACCTGCCTCCAGAGGAGGAGCAGGCGGCTGTGCTCGCTGCTGAAGTAGGCATTGAAGGACTATGGAGAGAGAGAGAGAGAGAGAGCGCCGCTAGGGTCACTGCTGCATGCCTGCCCCAGGGCCCTGCCACCACAGCCTAGGAGAGGATCTGTGTCCCCCTGAGAAGCCGAGAGCACCCAGGCCCTGAGACCTCCCAGCCGCCAGGGTGTGACCATGACCATGGACCAGTCACTAACTCTACATGTAACAGTGACAGAAAACTTCACAAGGAATGGAAGAAACGGCCAGCCTGGCCCAGGGCATGTGGGACCGAGGCCAGCTCTCCCAAGATGGCTGGGTGGGAGCACTATGGTCAGGCTCCTGCCCCTCTCCAGACTTGACTGAACCTTCTGCAAGGCCGCCCCTGCCGTGCCCTCCCTCCAGCACCCGCTCACCTCTTCCTCACGCCTCCACACCGCCTCCCTCTGTTCCAGCTCCTTACAGCTGCGGGTCCAGTCACTGGTCACCTTGCGAATGTCCTCGCTCAGAGCCTGGTTGGCCAAGTTTGCCTGATCCAGCTGCTCTCTCAGCATGGCGTTCACCTGGGCCAGGCTGGCACTTCTGGGAGAGGTGGGGGAGTTCAGTGGGCACTTGCTCACCTGTCTGGAGGGTACCCTCGGGCTATCCCACACTCTCACCTCTGCTGTTCCTCCTCCAGGCGCAGAAGAGCGCTGTCCAGGTCCTGCCTGTGTTCTGTGATCTAGGGGAGCAGGAGGGGAGTCAGGACAAGCAGGAGGCGTGAAGGTCCATTCCTGGTCCGTCCTGTCACCTCGGTCCTGTCACCCACCCTCAGTTGCTGCTGCTCCAGCTCGGTGGCCCTGTCCAGCAACTGCTTCTCCAGATCGGAGCACTGCTTCTTGTACTGCAGGATCTGGTGAGGAGCGGGAAGAGTGTGAACCCAGAGGTGAGGGCCAAGTGAAGTGGGGTGAGGGCAGGGTGGGGGTGGGCAGCCCTGACCTTGGCCTGCAGCCGCTGCACTAGCTGGGCCTGCCGCTGCTGGCCCTCCTGGTAGGCCTGCAGCTTGCGCCGATAGGAGGCCTGCTCCTCCTGCAGCTGCCTCCGCAGCTCCACGCTCTGCCGCACCAGCCCCCTGGGCTCCTGGGCCTCCAGCTCCCCAGTCTCCAGCCGCACAGCCTGCTCCAGCTGCAGGGAAGGGCCCTGCGTGAGAGTCCTGTGCCTCCTGGGATGCAGGCCCAGGCCTCTTCAGGAGACACCAGACTGGACCCAGACCCACAATGCCTTGCAACCTGATAGCCATGCACTCCAAGAAGCAGTTACAGGCAGGTAGGCCCAGGATGTCATGGACATGAGCATACAGATGAGCAGGCATGGACACACAGACAAGGCAATGCATACAGAGGTTCACAGAGCGTGGCACTCAGATAAGACACGCTTGGGGACATAGTGCAGACATGGGCACTCAGATAAGACATGCTTGGACACATAGTACAGAC